ACCGGCCCAGGTCGGAGACGGAGCAGGCCAAAGCTCCCCTGCTGATCAGTGGCGGGACCGCGCCTGCGAGCAGCCCCGCAGCCCAGCCTGGGCGAGACAGAGAGACCCGGCCTCCTTTTGACACCCGCGGGCGGGAGCCACTGGGGCCTCTGGCGAGGACACCGGGCACCCAGGACGCAGTCTGGGGGACCTGGCAGCGATGGAGGACGGGTGGCCCGCCAAGCGGACGCCGGACTCGAACTCCCACCAGCCGCAGGCAACACGGCCACGGGCTAAAGAGCATGGAAATGAAGTCTGGCATAGTAATGGGTCCCTTGTGCCTGCTTTAATGGCTTTCAGACGCAGCGAGAAGTCTCTGTTGGTGGCAAGACAAAGCAAACAAGGTTTTTCTTTTGACTCCCATTGGTCCCCCACGCAGGGCTTACACCCGAACTTGGACTCCGGGCCCTGGCACCTGTGACTTCATCATGGAATGAGGACCTCTGAACATGTCCAGAGTGCCTTGCAGCTGTCATGGTAAAAACAGAGGTGGAATTTTCTCCTGAGCCACAGGAACTATGGGAAGGACAGTCCGTGCAAAGCATTCTTAGTCACACGCACCAAAAGCGCTTGGTTGCGGCAAACGCGGGAGCTGAATCCTCTGCTATGAAGCCCTTCGGTGCAATCCAAGATGCATCAGAGCAGGCAGTGGGGGAAACATCTGTTTATACGCTCAGGAGCTTCATTGCTTTTTTCTCTGCAGAATCTCCCTTTTAGGGCAGTCTTCCTCACCCAGGTGCCTCCAGAAGTGTTGGATTTGAACTCCCATCATCCTCTGCCAGCCATAGTTGGGAAAGCCTATTTTAGGACCTTTGCCATGTTATGGGCATCTGATTGTATTCCTGCCTTACTTGGGGGGTCGTGTGAGCAGCTGGTTTGCCACCGAGAATGCGGGACCGGCTGGACCCCATGTCCCAGCCTGCGTAGCTTTCCCGTTATGTGTGGTTGGCCAGTCCATGGAGTTACACCGGGTACGAGATGCTTCTCGCAATCCGACAGCCACTCTGGACCTGCCCACTCCCCACGGGCCCTGGTGATGGGGCAGAGTGGAGAGACCCTCTGCTCAGCTGATTCACTTTATTTCTTATTTTGATGCGTGTGCCTCTACAATAGCTCATATTTGGGCTCTCTGCACAGCTCACCATATAAACTGAGAGGTCTCCTAAGACGAGGGGGACGGGTACAAGCTTGGGGGTCTGGACAGCACAGCTGCTGAGGGTGGGAGGTGGGCTTTATCTGGCTGGAGCAGGCAGAAGAAGAGAAGCCCCAGGAAGCCCCCAGCCCGATGGGAGCTCGGGCATACTTTTGCCAGTGAGGGGGAACAGTGAGAAACCATTGTGCATTGGCCTTCAGGAGTCTCAGGATTAGGGGAAACTGACATAAGATGCTTTCTCCAAGCCGTCCACGTTTAAGGGACTGCGAAAGGAAATCTAGCACAGAAAACAGTTCAGTAGATGACGGGTTACAGATCTGGAGTAACAGCTCAGATAACATGCACGTGGGCCATCTATGTATCTCGGGCTCGAGAAGGGGTCCAGCATCTTGTGTTGCCTGTGAAAGGACGACGGTGCTAGTAAGCGTCCCAGAATCCAGGCAGAACCTGATAACTGGCCCTGCGGCCCTCAAAAGTTAATGTTCGAAGCAGCTGGGCCATTTCCAGAGGGTGGCGGTGCTTGTTCATTGCAGCAAAAACATCAGGGAGTCTGGATGCGTCTTAAAAACGAGCACCTTTCTTCTGTCCTCCGCAAGGTGGGTTGTTTCACCACACCCTCACCAGGTGGCCGTTCTCTTCCTTTATGGGCATGACCGTCAACGCACTCTCCCCTCGGCTCGTGGTGGCAACAGGTGCCACTCTGGAAGATCAGTCTCCGGAGTGCCGTTGACCGGGACGGAGCTGGCCTGGGGCTGAGCTCGCTTGCTTTACGGGTGGTGGGAGTGGATCCTGAGAGAGGGCGAGCTGCAGCACGAGGAGCCCCTTCACCTGCTCTGCCACTGAAGCCCACCTCCCATGGCTCTCTGGAGAGCTTTCCCAGCACGGGCTGCATCCAGGAGTCTTTTCTCAGAGTAAGGCGCATGAGGCTCTCTGGAGACCAGCGGGGCAGCTCTGTCTCTGCCGCCAGCCTTAGAAACATAGAAACAGCGCGAGTCAGAAGGGGTCTCCCGGGCCATCTAGTCTGACCCCCAGCTCCAGCTGGCTCCGCTCACGACATGCCCACTATGTGCACGTCCAGCCTTGAACACCAATGGGGCCTCAACCACCTCCCGGGGAAGCCCATTCCACACCCTGGGGGTCCTAACTGTCAGGAAGTGCTTCCTGGTATCCAAATTGAACCTGGGTTCCCTGAGCTTTGCTCTGTTGGAGCGCGTCCTGCCCTCCTCCGCAGGGGAGAACAGGTCTCTGCCCACCTCCATGTGACACCCCCTCACGTACCTGCATGTCACCAACAGATCCCCTCTGAGTCTCCTCCAGGCTGAAGAGACCCCGTTCCCTCAGTCTTGCCTCATACGGCATCCCTTGCAATCTCGCCTCATGCCCATCCTCTCAGGAGAAATGAAGGGGGGGTGATGGTGTCAGAGGAGGGGAGGAGCTTTGGGGCCAGGCCCCATCCTGGGCAGCATCAAGTCTGCCAGACTGGTTAGGGGGCAGGGGGAAATCCATCCCTGTCCCCTCGAGCTTTCTGCATCCTTGTCCTCCAGCATGGAGCTGATCTGACTGGAGACCCTGGGGAGGGATGAGCCCCTCTTTAAAATGCAGAATGTGCATCAATTAATTGCCATTGTGTGTGTGCGTGTGTGTAGGGAATGTGATTGTGGGGAAGTATTGCAGCATGTGGAGCGGAGAGGTAGCCCTTCCCTACCCCATGGCAGCCTCCTTTGCCCCTCGCGTGGCCCCTGAGCTGTGGAAAAAGCCCCTTCCAGGGGCATCAAGGGACACTCGGGCTGGGCTCCCCTCTCCCGATGCGAATGGGAGCCGCTCAGCTCACCAGCGGGGCAGGAATGCTCATCGGCGCGTTCTCCTGCCGGGCCTCTGGACAAGCGGCTTGCTGGGGGGCTGTGTGCCGCAGGCGTACGGTGAGGGGAAGCACTGGTGTGGTGACAAGTCCTCCTCCTCAAAGAGCTACGCCGGGCCCTCGCGCTTTGCCCCGCCACCCACGGTTGCCCTTAAGTGCCCTTGTCCACTGTATGGTGACTGTTTCGGTGCCCTGGCCGGGACTGCCTGCTCAGCTCCGCAGACTCCGGGCTGTGGCCTCCTTCGTGGAGCCCGTCCAGCTCACGGCTGGTCTTCCCCTCCTGCCTTCGGCTTCCCTAGCAGGACTGTCTTCTTCAGCGAGTCTCGCCCTTTGTGACATGTCCAAAGGGAAGTCTGAGCCTTTTGCCCTGGACTGGTCGCTCAGGCCTGCAAGGTTCCCTCATCCCTGACCTTCCACCCACCCACCCACCCACCCACCCAGCAACGAGTGCTATCCCACCTTCCACCACAAAATGCACTCCAGGGGGCTAACAATACAAGTTAGCTGAGCACCGATGGCTTCAGTCAATGGCTCCTCTCACCTGCTTGCAACCCTGACTAGCGGCAGCTACGGGGGGGGGGGGGGGGGCAGGTACAGCCCTCCCTGCTCCCCCCACCTTTCCAAAGCTTTTTGGGCAGGGACAAACCGGGGTGGGTGCATGCAAAACGCAGCTGTTCTTTTTCATTCCAGAGGGTCCGGCTGAGGTGAAGCCGTGGAACCACAGCAGAGTCGGAAGGGGGCAAGAAGGCCATCGCTGCCGACCCCCTGCTGTTGCAGGCTGCCCGTTTACACCATCTCACGCAGCCCGGTTCTGCCTAGTCTGGGAAGCGATGCCGGGGCAGGTCTGGGTGAGATCTGGATGGGTGACTTGAGTCCTGCACTGAGCAGGTGGCTGGCTATGATGGGCTGCAGGGCCCCTTCCAGCTGAATGGTTCTGTGGTCATGACTGTCCAGGGAGGACAGTCCAAGCCATTCCTGCAGCAGGGAGCTGTCGTCCTTGCTACCCGTGTCCTTCAGTTTCTTGGGTACTTGGGATTTTGTCACCTCTCCCGGGAAAAGCACACGCACCTCTGCTAAATGACATTCCTCCTGCCTCTCCACTGCCTTCTGCTGCCCCAGCTGTTTTTAAAAGAATTGGGCCTGGGCCGCTTTAAGCAGCCCAGGGCCTGGAGACCAAGGCTGAGATCATCCACGCTACTGGATTTCTGATCACTCTGTGTGGGTGTGAAAGCTGGCCGGAGAAGGAAGCTGGCAAGAGGAAAGTGGATGCATTTGAAACATGATGTGGAGGGGAGCTTTGCAGATACCCTGGACCGGCAGAAAGACAAACAAGAGGGTCTTTGATCAAATCAAGGCAGAGCTTTCCCTGGGAGCAAACATGATGACACGGAAGCTGCTGTGCTTCAGAGGCATCATGAGAAGGCCACATTCCATGGGAAACGCCATCATGCAGGGGAAACTGAGAGCAGAAGAGGAGGACGAAGAGCAAGTATGAGATGGGTGGAATCCACAAAAGGATCCACGGCATTCGGTTTCCAGGAGATGAGGATGTTCTAGAGTGCTTTATTCAGCGGGGTGCCCTAAGTTGGAGACACAACAGTCCCCAGTTCATGGACAGATGGCATGGGGAATTCATATGTAACTCCTGGCCCCTGTCCGCGGCAGGGCTACAAGATGACTGGAAGGATCGAGTTGTCGAAGAATTCATGTATGCAAAATCCAAAAGCCCCTAACAAAGATAACTCACACTGCATCAAGTGCTTCTGTCAACATGATTTTTAAAAATATCAATAAATAAAGCCACCTTAAAATTAGGCACACTGATCAAGTAATCTGGGAGTCCAAAACTCCACGGTTGGCCGTGGGCGGAACTGCATGGAAAACCTGCTGCAGTCAGGGCTGCTTGGTTTCTGTGCCAGGGGCAGATTAAGTGTGGATCCCTGAGCGTGTTAGCATTCGTTTTGCAAAAAAACAGATGACAAGATCAGATGACAAGATGCTTGAGAAAAACCTGAAGGCTTAATAAAGTCTCTCAGAAGGAAAAGGAGTAGGGCCTGGGCCACGCTCTTCTCCGTGAACTGTCATAATCTTGTGTCTGCGGGAGGCTGCGTTCTGAAGGTGCTGATCCGAGACACTTGCAAATGACCCAGGGAGTTTTCACAGGCAAGGCCAACATTTTGCCCCCAGTAATCGCCCGCCCCGACGCTCTCTGGAAACAATTTACCCCCTTCTGCAACAGCTGAGGGGGTGTCACAAATGGGGTGGGCAAGACGCGGCCCTCCTGACGTTATTGGGCAACGACTCCCATCAACCCCAACCTTGGCTGTGCTGGCTGGCTGGGACTGATAGGAATTGCAGTCTGGTCACATCTGGAGGTCCATGAGTCGCTCAAACCTTCTGCACAGGCTAATTGGGCCAGACGGACAGTATGAAAATGGATAAAATGGAGAGAGGTGGAGCTTGTAAAGCACTTTGGGTTCCTTGTTAGAGGAAGAAAGCTGGGATACCAGAGCAATGTAATACGATCATAATACTAGAACCCCAGCACCATGGAGCTGGGCGGTGGGAGGTTCCAGGCAGAAACGAGAATAACTCTGCAGAGGGAGAGGGAGGTCCTCCCTGTGCAGATAGTTGCACAGTGCAATTCTGCAAGTGGTGGGGGCCCCCAACAGACGGCTTTAAAAGGGTGAAGTGGTACCTCTGCTCACAAACGCCTCAGTTCACAACCAAATCAGGTCGCAAACAGAAATTTCATAAAAATTTTGCCGCAGGTCGCGAATGACACATCGGGTGACGATCGCGCCCGCCTTCCCTGCATGGGTGCGATTGCGGTTGTGCTCAGGGTGCGGGGGGGAGATGGCTGCGATCATGCTTGGGGGGTGGGGAGATGGCCGCGATCGCACCCGTCCTCCCTGCCCGAGCGTGACCACGGCCATCTATGCCCAGGGTTGCGGTCGTGCTCGTGCAAGGAACACGGGCGCGATCGCGGTCGTGCTGGGGGCCGGGGGGGGGGGGGGGGATGGCTGCGATCTTTGTTGTTCTTTGTCACTTTGCTTCAAATTTTTGTGAGTTAAAAAAAAAGTTACAGAACAGATTAACCTTGTTTACATTGAACCTTATGGGGAAATTTGACTTGGCTCACAACCAGTTTGGGTCGAGACTAGAGCCATGGAACGGGTTAGGTTTGTGAGCCGAGGTGCCACTGTATTCGACACATTTATGCGCAAGGCTTTCACGGACTCCCTGATGGCTCTAATCCCTTTGTGATGGAGAACCGGATCTGGTCCTTCAGGGTTGGTGATACAAGTCCCAATTGGTATGCACAGTGCAATGGCCCCCAAGCCTCCAGCAACGCACCGGTGAGCCTCGGAAAGACTGGCCGGGCTTGTGCTGGGGAGCAGGGGATGGCCAGTCACCCCGCAGGGATCTGGGGCACGCGCTCTCTCTCTCTGGGGCTGCTGAATCTCCAGTGCGCCACTTGCTCGCCCCACAGTCCAGCAGAACCAGCATGCATAGAAAGGCGTTCCGCCGAGGCAGTGCTCTAAACCGTGCCCTCCGTGGGCGTGTGGATTCGGTGTGTGCACGGACAGAACGGAGGCTCTCCCAGGGTCCCGGGCACGGACTCCATCACCGACGTCCAGAAGACACCGGGAGAATCTTGCACATGGCAGTAAAGTGCTCGAGCTGTGCAGAGGCGGGACTTCGGCTGCTACGACCCCAGCGAGGCCGCGGAGGCCAGCGTGGGCGAAGTCAGGTTCTTCACGATCCTGCTGAGATTCGTGATCTTTTCTTCAAGCAAGTAGTTCTTCTTCTCCGCGGTTTTCTGTCTGTGCTCCGTCACCTCCAGAGCTTTCAGCAGCTGGGCGTTCTCGACATAGAGGTCCTTCACCATTTCATCAGCTCTGCTGTTCTTGGCAAGCTGGAGCAAAGGAGGGAAGAAATGAGGGCTCGCACCACAAAAAACGGGCTGCGAAAAGGGGCAGCAAGGCTTGAATTCCATACCGTCTCACCCCGAGGAGCCTGGCATGCGACACCACCCAGCGTCAGCGACCTGGAGGAGCGAGGCTGCCTGAAAGAGTCCCCTGACCAAAGTTTGTCTACAGCAGGGCCAGCGTAAGCTGGTCTGGCTGCCCTTGGTCTCCAGGGGGCTGTGCCCCCTCCCCTCGATCAGCAACTCTTTGGGTGTCCTTCGACTTTCCCCCTTTCGCAAAGGCTGACGTGCTTCTTCCAAGGCTTAATCATTGGCAGTAAGATTTAAATTCAAATATGCTAACGTTTTTGGAATTGCGGCCTTCCCCACCATGGGGCCTCTACGAGCTTCTCCAGTGTGGGAGTTGCTTCTCGGGTGGAAAACAGTTTGTCCCCCTGGTTCGACAGCAGCCTGTCCCCTCTAGGTGACCCTCCAACATGGCGGACTACAACTCGTGTCACCCATAGCCGGCATAATCAAAGGGGCTCTTATTTTCATACCCTGCCTTTCCTTCTGTGAGTTCAGAGCTCTCAAGCCATGCTGTAAAAATTGTGCCCCATCTTTCTGAAAATGGTGTCCCCTGATGTTCGGAACTACGTAAACAAGCATTCGTGATGATTGGACACAATGGCTGGGGCTGATGGGGGCACCGCAGCTTATCTGAAGGGTGCCACATTGCAAAGGCAGATCAAATTGCTTTTGATGGCAGTAAAGTCCATCGCTAGCAGGAGCCAACCTACCATGGCATCTGGGCACTTTCAATGGAAGAATGGGCCATAAATAACTGAAGAAGAAGCATCTACTACTCCGTTTCCCCACCAAGGCCAGGCCTACCCAGGTTGGCAAGGGCAAGGACTTCGTGTTTATAATGAATTGCAACCAGCTGCTGCTCAGCGCAAGGGGAATCAGGGTCCTTTGGTCTCATCCAGCGTGGAGGCCCGGCAATACTTCCGGGGCCGGAGCAAGACAGGTAGCTCCATTCCAGAAAGCGGCACTGTGCCCAGTTCAGGGCATCCCCCCAGGATCCCAAGCGATATCGCAGACGAAGATGGGGACAGGGGTGCAGGATAAAACTGGTTTCAGTTCATGTTTCAAAATCAGACATCATCCAATCAAGACCTCAGCACCAAATGGGCACCCAAATGCAATCTGCAGCTCAGAACAAGAGCAGAAGCACCAAATGTATTTGAAACACTTTAATCATCAGGAAAAGGACACATGCACCGTCAACATGTGCAAAATTGATACTTAGATTTGGAAAAGTGCATACTTGATGCAAGCACGTTTTGGTGCAAGAAGCTAAACCACAAGCTGATCATCTTGCATGCATATAGCAGGCATGTCATGAGCGGAGCCGGCTGGAGCCGGGGTCAGACTAGATGGCCCGGGAGGCCCCTTCTGACTCGCTCTGTTTCTGTGTTTCTATATGAGGCAGAAGAAACTTCAAGGTGGCATTCAGAGAGCTTGGATGATCTCAGTTTTTTGGGGATTTGGACGTTGCCAGCGTGGGTCACAACTCTCCCGATCGTGCGCACATGCATTACCAAGAGTCCTTTGCTCCAGCCGGCCCTGCATGACTCTTAAAATTGCCCATAACTACGAGGGCGACTCACCTGCTCTTTCAGTTGATTGACTTTGTCTTGGAGAAGCAGTTTCACCAGCCTGAGCTGTCGCTCCACATCCATCAAGCGCTTCTCCATGGTCTGCAGCAGCTGCTCAGGTGCGACCTGAAAGGGAGCATAAATGCCCTGAATGGAGATGGAAGCCCAAAGGGCCACATGCTTGGCTGGTTCCCTGTGACACGAAGTTTCCCAGGCAAGAGCCAACTTTGCCAGATAAAGGACATGGCCTGAGAAGTCTGGGGTCAGCAGGGACTACTACCGGAGGAGAAGTAAGTGCAAGCGCTCCCAGGCCCTGGGATCAGTTCCCACGCACACCTGTGGTGCACAGGTTCTCCATTCATTTCAATGGAGGAACAGGAGCCAGCTACCCAAAGTGGGGAGGGAGCTTCCTTTCACGGAGTCGGGGAAACCCCAGCACGATGGGGCATTCCGCTCTTTCCCTGCAGGTACTCCTCACATCCCGGACCACCACTTCCTGGCACACTGCACTTTCCCACGGATGCCACTATGGCCTTGGGAATCTGCCTCAGTTTGGATGCTGTAGCCAAGTAGGGTTTAGGCCCCGAGCGTAACAGCCTCCATCAACCTGACCAGACGTCTTGGCCAGGATTCTGCAATGAGCCAGACGCTTCTGCAAAGTCCATAACCTTCTCGTTTTCTCCATCCTCATATTCATTTTCAGCTCATGCACAGAGGTGAGAGGTGATTTCCCCTATAAGGACCTCAAAGGCTGTCCCAAAGAGGAAGGTCAAGATCTCTTCCTGCTGATGCCAGAGTGCAGGACACGGAGTAATCAAGTCAAGCTGCAACAACCCAGATTCAGGCTGGACATCAGGAAGAGCTTCCTCCCTGTCAGAGCAATACGGCAGTGGGGCCAGCTGCCTGGAGAGGTGGGGGGCTCTCCCGCAGTGGGGACATCCAAGGGGAAACTGGGCAGCCACCTGAGTGGGGTGGTGTGACTTGGTGTCCTGCAGCAGCAGCGGGTTGGACCTGACCCCTTCCAACTCCACTATTCTATGATTCTAAGCTCAACCACCCCTCCCTGATTTCCCCACCCTCCACCATTTTGAATTCTTTTCCAGGAGGGGTTCACTCCATAATTTGCTGTTCTGCAGGTGTGCAGATTAAGAACTTAAAAGGACTGTGTTGGATCAACCAGAAGCCTATTTAGATCCGTCCATCCAGAATTGGAGCGCACAGGGGCCTCGAACCTTCCAGCCATTGGTATGGAAGTGTGCCGCCTTGGATACGCAGGGGAACATAAAACCTTCTGGCTAGGAGCTACAGAGAGCCATCTGATTTATGGATTTATCTAACCTCCTCTTAAATTCATCCAGGTTGGTGGCCATCACTGCATCCCATGATCGCAATTTTTGTGGGTTAACTAAGCACTGTGTGACCACCTTCCTTTGATCTGTCCTGAACTTCCTGCCACTGTTCAGCTTCATGGGAAGATCCCTTGGGGTACCAAAACTGAAAAGGAGAAAAGTTGCTCCAGATCCACTATTCCACACCATTCCTACTTCTATATACCTGTATTAAAATCTCCTTATATGCTGATTTTCTAGTAGGCTAAAACATCCCAAATTTGGTAGCCTCTCCTCTTGGGGGAGTTGCCAGCCCCTCCGTCATGCTCGTCCCCCTTTTAATCCCTTTTTCCAACTATACAATATCCTTCTTCGGGCTGCTGTGCCCAGAAGCATTTGCGGTGTGATCACACCACTGACGTGTCCAGGGGTGCTTTGGGACCAGCCGTTTTCTTTCGCAACACGGACTTTTCCTGGGTGACAGCCAGGACACTCGGTTTAACGCTGCCAATCCCAGCCATGGGATCTCTTTCCTGGCTATTCATCACCACCTCGGATACCCACAGCACAGCTGCGGAGCCTGGATGTCTTTTTGTTTTCGCCTTAGTGTGCCTCACTCCCCACTTATGGCTTGGGAAGCTCCCTGTGGAACCGCTCATGCTCACCTGCCTACCCGGAATAATTTGGAGTATTTTGGAGTGGTCACTCAGCAACTGTGCCGACAGCAAAGACCGTGACAGCTGCGTCGGAGGAACACCCAACCTCAGGAGCGTTGCCACCGCCACATCCTGCCAGGATCAAGCGGAATCTGCATGTGCCCCACAGAAGCAGCGTTTCCCCCCAACCCTGGGCTCTCAGCCCCCCTTCAAGTTCTCCTTTCAACCGGGACAGCGCTGCCGGCCAAGCAAGCGGTGCTTGAGAAGCAGGTGCTTTCATCTATCCGTCTGGCTCCGTTTTCCTTCCATTGTCTGTCTGTCTGTCTGTCTGTCTGTCTGTCTGTCTGTCTGTCTGTTTAGAAGGCTTCTATGCTGCCCCATTCGCCAAAGCCTCAGGGCGGCTCACAATAATAAATAAATAAGCGCAGTATAAAACAATATAATATGAGTCAACCTGGCCCGAAAATAAATAAAAAAATAAATATTAACAATCAAAATAACGTTTGAATAAAAAGGTCTTCGCCTGGTGCCGAAAACCAAATAACGACGGCGCCAGGCGGACCTCTCTGCGGAGTGCATTCCATTGTCTAGTACAGCGATATCAAACCTCAGGTCCCTAGACGACCGGATCACCTCCTGAATTATTTTTTTAGTGTTTTCCTCCTCCTAAATAACTTGAGATGCCTATTCTAAGACTCTCAGACATCAGTAATAGCAGTTTCAAGATAAAACATGTTGGAGTTTTGGTTTTCGGACTCCGTGCCTTCAGCCCTCCCCATCCTGGGAACGGAGCCCCAAGAATTTCCCTGAAATTAAATCCAGGCTGCAGGCTGGAAGGAGCGCTCTGTTTGCTCCCTGAATATTCACCTGGGCCCTGCCCCTCCCTGCCGAAAGATTGGATCTGACTTCCTTTATAAATGACTCAATTTATCCAGTTAAGATTCTGGCCCCACCCAAAATACAACATGCCTTTAATTAGTAAAAGAAAAAGACACATATTTAAAATGTGTAGTTTATTTCTCCAATTACAATCCAAAAAAGTGTAGCGCTTTCCCTGTTTAAAAAGTATTTATACATCTTGTACAAAACTTTGTATAAATAACTCAGATTTTCTTCTTCCAATCCAATATATAAAAAATCAGTACCTTTTTGTTTAAAAAATAGTTACAGCATACAATTTGAAGAAAAAATAGTTTTTCTCTGTCCAAACTCCCCGGGATAAGCAGTTTTTAAATAACATAAATAAAAAATTTGTCTCAGAACAAATAAAAAAATGAAAGACAGTAGTGTGTGATTCTTTGCACGCGGCCCATGCTCTCTCTCTCTCTCTCTCTCTCTCTCACACACACACACTAACACACACAAATTTTGACGCAAATAAATAAGGGGGAAGAAAACATAATACTGAGAGGTTTAAAATAAAAGGGATTTGTTTTTAAAGAAAAATGCAATTTGATCCCTGGGTTTCTCCGCTTATGCCAGTTTGTGTGAGTAAGGAGTGAGGCGTGTTAGCAGCCAAGGGTTGTCAGAGGTGCCCGATCCGCCTGTACGTGTCCGCATGCAGGGACCGCTGCTCCGGAAGCAAGGCCTAGGAAAGAAGGCAAGGAGGACAACTTCACGCACGGGTCTTTGGAAAGCACATCGCACCTGGTAAAGCAGTGGAGCAGCAGCGCCGCCGAAGCCGCCAGAGCAAGCCGGGCGCGTGCAAGAGAGGAGAGGCACACACGGCGCGCAGCGCGTCACGGGCAACGCTCCCCGGGCCTCCGGCCTCGGGCAGGGCTACCGCAGCCACACGGAGCAAGCCGTCAGTCTGTCCTGGGCCCGCGGGCCAGAACGGCAACCCCACCGGAAGGACCGGCTCCCACGCCGGTTTGGAGAGCCAGCACAAGCCACAGTCTGCCGGTGCCCTGGCGAGCGAAGGGTTGCCGGAAGCGAGTGGGGAGGGGATCGAGGCGTCGGACGGGAGAGCGGCCAAGCAAAGGGGGCGGAGGCTTGGTTTATCCCTGCCTTCTGCCGGTTGTCTGAATCATGCCTTCCGTGGTTGCAGAGGTGCCTGCCACAGCCCTGTCCTCAGAGCTCCTGCCCTTCCCATTAAGCTTCACCCACGGCCGGCTGCGGGTATGATTCTGGTCCTCGCTTTCGTGGCAAGAGCTTGGAAGGCAGGCATTAATTTAGCACTCCTTGGGCGATGGAAGCAGAACTGTGTATGGAAGTTGTCCCTGGCCTGGAGCCCTCCCTGCATTTCCACCGGCCACACTGGCCGGGCACGTGGGGCTAGGGGTCCCCAAGGCACGAGGTGCTTTGCCCAGCCAGGCCCCTAAATGGGCAGACGCACCCTGCCCCCGAAGACTGTTCGGAAGCTGCAAAATGCGGCAGGGCCAGAACGTCTGAACATGCAGCATCCACCCGGGGAGCATGAGCTGGAAGGTGGTTATGCTGGCTGTGGCTGATGGGAGTTGGAATCCAATCTTAAGCAGAGGCCTTTGAAAAGACAGCTTCCTATCCGCTTAGCGAGTCCTATAGGATGGACAATGCAGAACGCAAGTTTAATAAGCAAATAAATTACGTTTGGTACAGAATTGTTCTGCAAGGGCCCTGAGAGGCTGTTTTCCCACCCTAAGGACATCCTACCCTTGAAAGTGACCCCGATATAATTTTGAATAAAACAAAAATGAATGAAAATACCACTGTAGGGTACCCAGAAACACCTGAATGGAGACATGACTCACAGGTAGTTTAATAAAAGATGTTGCCCATTTATGTGAAGAACACACAGACAAAACCACTGATCACAGGCAGCGGATCAGAGAACGCCGATTAGGAAGAATGACCTGTTAGTGCCATGGGTGGAATGAGCGAATTGGTGAAGCGGGGACGGGGAATTTGACCCGACTCGTTTGAACTGGCATAAACAGAGAAAGGATCATGACGAGGAAGAGGAGAGCTGAAGAGGCGGCCAACTGGAGGCGGAGGAGCTCCAGCCGGGGAGGAAGAGGAGGAGGAGGGAGAGGAGGCCTACCTGCGGCATGTTCGTTTCCACGGGCCGGCTCTCGGCCTCCTCCTGCAGGCGCTGACCCCGCCGCTCGGCCTGGGGGAACTCGTCCCAGGGGACCGCGGCACGGCCCGGCTGCTGGAGCTGCGGCCCGTCGCGAGGAGGCTGGGGCGGGCCACGCGTCCCGCTGGAGTTCGGGTGAAGCAGCTGCAGGGGGGAGAGGCGGACAGGTGGGTTCAGCACCGCTTCCTCACCTGGGCACGCACGCACTCGCCGGGGCATCCCCCAGCGCAGCTGCAAGGACGGCTCCCTCCATGCACGCCTCTCCAGACCGGGGTCGCCTGGGGCGAACTGAGGCATGCTGAGCTCAAAGAGGGCCTGGGTCTCGAGGACGGCGCCTTCGGGCTCTCCTGGAACAGCCCTCTGGGATTGCCTTCCAGTCAGGAATGAGTGGATTTGCACAAAGCCCTTCTCTAGTGGGATCAACTTTTGTTTCTAAGGCGTACCGATCTTCCTCCAGAGATCCAGAGCAAGGGACGCGACCCAACAGCCTTGCCTTGGTTGCTCCCGGCAGCTGGAATGCAGGAGTTTGCTGCTCCTGGTTTCCCCTGATCATGCTTAATAGCCGTGCATTTGAATCCCGGGAAAGGGGGAAAGAAAACTGCACAGAAGCCGAGAAAGCACCGAGTGGGCTCTGGTCGTGGAAAAGTAGGGAGCGCAGGGGAACAAGCACATCTGGCTGGAGAGCACGGGGGCCCATGTGCCCCTGGCCCGGAGGCGCTGCCTGTCCCCAGACGAGGCCCTCAGCTCAGTGTGGCTTTGCAGGCACGGTCCCTCTCACACTGGCACCACTTCTTTATCCTCTGATAGTATTAGCCGAATTTTTGCAAGCTCTATTCAGCTTCAGTAATAACCGGCTAGAAACCCCGAAGGGCACGGGACGGACGGCACACCTGCAGCCCCTGATCCCTGGAGGCTGGAGGCTTCATTTGAATCCACAGCACATCCTGACTTGTCAAATCCAGGGGAGCAGGAGTCCAAAAACGCCTGTAATTCCCAGCATGCCCCAGCCAGCATGGAAAAAAGCCAGGGCATGCTGGGAATTGTAGGCCCTTTTTTCTGCCTGAACTTTCATAGGATTGCTCCCATTTTTGTTATTCCTTGTAATTGTCCGTTTTTAATTATCTGTTTTAATATTCTAGAATATTCGATATTCTATTTAAAACTTTTCAATATTTTCCCTGATTTCATGATGTTTTGTTTGATCCTGTGAGTCAGTTCCCCAAAGCCAGGCACCTCCAAGGAGCTCAAAGACTGGAGCTGACCTGTCAAAAAATATCTGGACAACTGACTTCCGGGAGATAATGGGTATTGTAGTCTCTCCTGTCTGGAAGGCTCCAAGACTGAGCTAATCCATATGAAAATTCCTCTAAGCCCCTGAACTCAGTAGCTGAGCAGTCTCCCGCACATGGGGTTCAGCCAGGGAGTTAGCTGGAATAAGGACACAGTAAAGCATTAACAAACCCTTTTCAGTCACAGCAAAACCCAAAAGCACACAGACACACAGAACATGCCAAAGGGCCATGCAACGTCTAAAACATTCAGGGAAGCTTTCCAGAGAGCTTAGTACAAGTTTCACTGATAATTCCATGTAAGACATGCATGCAAAACTACGAACTATGGATGCAGAACTAGGAGAACTATGGATGGTCACAAGAGAACAAAAGGGCATTCCAAGAATAAAGCAAAAGGTGGAATCTTAGAGCCACTTTTCATTTTTGTGAAATCCCGTGTCAAGCTACGAAGCTTAGTGGGATTCGTGGAAAGATCATGCTTTACCGCTGAATCAACTTTCTTTCTTTTCCGCCTCCCTCCGCCCTAGAGACTACGGACACGATCCTGTGTGTGTTAAGGCAGAAGAAGTCCTACACGGATCCCAGGATCCTCCAGGCAGCCCTGCTGGGACTCGGACGCACTTCTGTCTTAACGCTGCACTGGATCGTGTCCCTCGTGGGGGCGGTGACCCCCTTGGTCGGCCCGTCAAAATGGAGAGTAGCTGCTTCCGGAGAAATGGGCTGCCGCTGTCCTATTTGGTTGTGTAGAAAATGAAAGATGTGATGTGGAGGGAGGGTTGGGGTTGATGTCCCCCCACCCCATGCAACAGGATTACAGGAAAGCGGGGAGGGGTTCTACCTTCTCGGGCTAATTCACTCTTTGCTACTTCCAGCCACCAAGGTCTACGAGCAGGTTAGCCAGTGGTCAGAGGAGAGAACAAGCGTGAGAGAGAAAGTTACGGGAGTCCGAGAGCGGGAAGGGGCAAGACGACAGCTTGCACAGAAAAAGGCAAACCAACCCGCACGTGACGGGGGATCTTCGACAGAAATCAGAGGAGGCGAAAGCGGGGCTGCCCGCCCCCTTTTCCTTGGGCGTTATGATTTTTTAGATTGCAAGTCTGCAGGTGGGCCTTGCCTTGTTTTACTGAAAGGCTGCAAGGCACCCCAGGGTTCCGTTTTTGGAACTTCAAATGAATACATTGTGCGGGTGCGAGGCAACCTCTTGCAACAGAGGGGGACAGAATCAGACCTCCAGGGGTCCGGGGCTGGACTGGTGCGGCATTAAAGCTCCCGATGGCGTTTGGTGCTTTCCCAGGGTGACTTGCGGAAGCAAATAAACTGTGCAAAATATGCTTTGTTTGCACAGATTGCATGGAGAACCGAATTTGCCGATTCTGTTTACAGAATTTAAAAAGAAGGCACATTTAAATCCGCAGAATTTACAAAGAACACCCTCTTCCTCATGGCAGATGCTCGCAGCTTGAATGTGCCATCTGGGCATGCCACCACGCAGCTTTGCGGCTCCTTCCGGGAGGGGGCCTGGAGTCCCGGAGGAAGGAACGTGTTTTGCACGCCCGGCCGTGCGGCCTGCAGCCCAGGACCTCAGGAACTAGGCTGACGGGAACCGTCTGTCTAGCTGGAAACTGCCGTCGGTCAGAAAGGCCAACAGTGGGTTGGACGGCAGTCTAGGCAGCTGAGGGGATATGTTTAATGCAGAACATCTGCATCCACGGAGGCTGCGGGGCAGAGCAATGGGGACGCAACCCAAGAGGCGCCCGAGCTTTCCTTCTCCCTCCAAAGCACCCCTTGGCCTGGCCCCTCCCCACAGCCTGCCTGCAGGGCCCGTCCATTTAGTTATCATGGTTAATGGCCGCTCACAGGCCAAGAATTAAATAGCCTTGATCTGCAAGCAACCAGCTGGACTACAACTCCCACACTGACTGTGGATGATTGGAGTTGTACTTTAAGTGCCTCTGGAGGGTGCCAGGCTGTGGAACGCTACCGATGATCAACCGGGGCAGAAGGCAGATTGCCAGAAGTTTGAAGTTTCAAGTGGCAGCGCACAGAGCAGGGCTGCTGGGAGGCGGAAGCGAGGTCTCCTGTCTGCCTGCCCATGCCTAGAGGAAGGCTTGCCGTCCTCTCCTGGAAGCCAGACTAGCAGCCCTCTGCCCTTTTAGACAACCTATTCTCCCACGGAATGGTTTCATCTTGCAATTTTCATCTCAGCTCAGAGAAATCACCCGTGGGTAAAACTCAACCATCCCTGACATGTCTCATTTCTAGACAGTTAACGAAAATGCCATTTCTGCTGAAACAGACCCTCCATCACCTGGTCATCCAGCTTGACCTGCTTTTTCCTCAAGCCTTCATTTTCGGAATTGATGGTTTGCAGCTCACGCTCGAGGGAATTCATCTGGGTGATCTGCCAAGGGGTTAAATTTCAGTTGAGAAAAAAGCAGCACTGAATTATTCATTCGGTTTGCATCTTTCAGCTTTGCCAAAGAGTCGCCATGGGGGCAAATTCGAGCCTGCAGCTAGAAGCTCCCCCCCCCCCACCCCTGCCCTGGAGCCAGAGCTTTCCCACAGAAAATATGCTTTCTGTGTTTTCATTTTCTGTTTTCGATTTGGTTCAACAGGTTATTGGAGGGAATGGTCTGCATTCGTCTGACCTCAGGGAAGTTTTGCATCCAGTGGCCTGGTGCCGCGAGCCCTGTCCCCTGAAGATGGGCACATAGCCATGACAGAGGCCCAGATGGGGAACAGCTAAACGGACTAGAGAACATATGTCATCCGGCCCTTTATTATGCATTTCAATCTTTTATGTGCTGCTTTTGGGACCCTCCCTCCGAGAAAACACCAGTATAGAAAAAACCATGCCGTTCTATAGCCTGCAGCAGGAGTCACCCACCTTTTTTGGCCTGCGTGCAATTTGGCACTTTGACGAAGTGACCGGGGGAACCATCACAAATTAGCTGCTAAACAGGAGCAGGGGGCAATCACGAAAATTTGGGGAGCTCCCTCTTTACCATGCAGGCACAAAGCTGGTTCTCTATTTCCTTCTTGTCCTGCTGTTTCCTCCCCCATCCCACTGGCTTCCCTCTGCCTCTCTCCCCGCCCCCCCCGTCCATCCATCCATCCGTCTGTCCGTTCGTCCTTCCATCTGTCTTTTTGTCCCCTGCCCTATGGTTCCTTTGTCACTCTGGTCCCCTCCCTCCTTCCCTTCCTCTGCCCACATTCCCATCCAGCTGAATAATAGAGAAATGTTCCCTTTTTCCTTCACTATGAAACCCAACGGTGCAATTTCTCTATTGGTGTTAATAAGGAGAGAAAATGGCCCCTTCCAAAAATGGTTGGTGGGTTCGAGGTCACATGCCCAGAAGGTCCTTGTTGCCCCAGAAGTCCTGGGGGGGGAGTGGACTTCCAGCCATTTTTGCCAGTGGGGGGCTTTTCTCCCCTTCTGAGCAAGTGAGAGAGTCTCCTGGTCTCGGGTTCAACACGGCATCACTTCCTGTTTCCAGCCACCTGATCTCCAAGAAACACACAACTCGGTCTTGGAGCTTAACCTCCTCCAAGGTTGCGAGTGGGTTTCAGACCCTCTCTCAATATGGCACCTGAGAACTTAATTTGCCAACCGTCTGCAAAACGGTGAATTTGACCGGCTGCCTCTGGTCAGCAAGGATTGCCCCGAGGTGAGCAGCCAAGAAAACAATCAGAAACAGGAAGATAATTGCTTGGGGATTCATTTGGCCTTTTGGGAAGGGGGGAAGGTTTCTTTCAAGCCACCCATGTGCCACAAATACATAAGAAACAAATGTAAAGGAAGACTAAGCTCAGCTAACAAAACATTAGTAAGCTGCTCAGTTTTAAAAAACCACACTGCATTAAGCCACGATGCAAACCCCAGAGGTGGAGTAACGGAGGATGCGCCGCGCGTGATGCAATGGCTCATTCCTCATTTTGGAGAAACGAGGCAGCCCGCCTGGGACTGACCTTCCTGTTGGCGGCCGCCAGCTCCTTCTGCAGCCGCTCACACTCCCTCTTCAGGCTCAGCTTCTCCTGTTCGATGGCCTTCACGAGCCCCGCCTGGCCATGAACCTTCTGGTGCTTCAGGGTCAGGATCGTGGATTCCAGTTGCCGTACCTTTCCAAGGCCAAAAAATATTTTGTTCCTTCAGAATGTTTGGGGGAAGCCACAGAAGCGCCAGAAAAGCGGTGGGGTCTGCGTGCAGCCCACCTCCTCTAATCCCCATGGTCCAACTTAGGGCATATTCTGTCTCCCCGGCCTGATCTGGTGTTTCCATGTGTGCCAATGCAGACGCCCCCGTGTGCCCAACGCCCTCGATCCGTCTCGGGCTCCGCAGGGCCCGTTGTGGAAAGGGACGAGCTCGGATTTAACCGCCAGGCTGCTCAGAAAGATGATGAGGGGATGCTGCAAATGGGCCCCAGCGGTTGCATTTGGGCAGGCTGGGACGCGGGTCCACGGAACCCAGCACTGACGGACACCGGCAGGCAGCAACCGGACCCTGCCAGGTCCCAGGCGGGAATGCTGCAGGCCCGTGTGGGATCGACCCTGCGACTTTTCACAGGCAGAGCAGGTGCGGCCCGGCCGAGCCACGGAGCCCCCGGAAGGGACGCCTGCTCACCTTGTCCCGGGAGTGGGTCAGCTCCGACTTGGCGCTCTGGGTCTCCCGCTGAAGGCGCTCGTTCTCCTGCCTCAGCAGCTGCTGCTCCTGCTTGAGCACCTGGCCCAGCTCATCCCGGCACAGCTTCTTCTGCTGGCTCTGGAGACCGGCTGAGTGCGTGGCGACTTCCAGGACCCGGTTCTGCCAAGGGAAAGGAGAGGCGTGCGTGTGACCTCAGGAGGATCAGAGGTTTGGGGCCACACACGGTGTTTCCCCAGAAACAAGACCGAGTCGAATTTTTGCTCCAAAAGACGCATTAGGGCTTATCTGTCCAGAGACCCATAATGTATTGGATGGGGCAAAAATACCCAAATAAAATTTTCAGGTGATGTCTTATTTTTTTCTTAGGAAAGCCGTAAGATTCTTGCCCCGAGAGTCCTCCATGATTCCTTTCTTGCATTCGACGGAATAGCTCTTCCTTTTTGCACTCGCTTTCATTTTGCATCCCTGCATTAAGTACGCTCGTCACAACACACGACATATTGATGTTGTGCGTGCGTTGTGTCTGTACTCCGATCGGTCATTTGGTGATCAGCCTCACGTTCATCTGTTTACATAGGTGTTTACCTCTTGTCCAAAGGCACCCGCTTCAGTATTCACAAATACTTAATTATAATGTATATTATCATTTAAGTAATGTCAATAATATTATTTATTTATATTTAATTATATATTACCATTATTATTTTATAATTCAACACATCTATCATGTGTTGCAATGGACATACTACTGTGATTCCCCATCCATCTGGCTGACAAATTTAACTGGGGTTTATTTTTGGGGTAGGGGTTATATTCCGAGCATCTTGAAAAATCTTGCTAGGGCTTATTTTCTGGTTAGGTCTTATTTTTGGGGAAACACGGTAGCATGGAAAACCGAATGGGAGCTCGAATGCCTGGGTCTGACATCCACAACTGCCTTAATTCATGCTTACGATCATGGATCAGTCCGTCTCTCTCATTCTCTCTTCTCTCTCGTTATATGCCAGTAAAAGGTCTACATGAAACCGCTGGGAGAGGTCGTCCGGAGGTGTGGGCTGCAGAACCATCAATACACTGATGATACCCAGCTCTACCTCTCGTTCTCCACCAATCCAGGTGAGGCAGTGGCTGTGCTGAACCGGTGCCTGGCCGAGGTGATGGGCTGGATGAGGGCCAATAAACTGAGGCTCAATCCAGACAAGACGGAGGTCCTGTTGGTTGGCGGATCGGGCTTCAGAGAGGGTGGATTTGACCTGGTCCTGAATGGGGTTGCACTCCCTCTTAGGGACAAGGTCCGCAGCTTGGGAGTGCTCCTTGACCCGGAGCTTTCATTGGAAGCTCAGGTGACAGCGGTGGTGAGGAGCGCTTTCCTCCAGCTTCGGCTGATTAATCAGCTGCGCCCCTACCTGGAGTACGACTGCCTGGCGACGGTGACACATGCGCTGGTGACTTCCCGACTAGACTTCTGTAACACGCTCTATGTGGGGCTACCCTTGAAGACGGTCCGGATACTTCAATTGGTGCAAAATAGAGCTGCCAGGCTGCTGACGGGGACGGGGCGTTGTTCTCATATAACCCCAGTCCTCCGTCAGCTTCACTGGCTCCCCATTGAAGTCCGGGCCCAATTCAAGGTGTTGGTTATTACCTATAAAGCCCTCACGGCTTGGGTCCTGGTTACCTGAAGGAGCGCTTACGTCCATTTATGCCCGCCTGCCCCTTGGGATCGGCGGGGGAGGCCCTTCTCCGGGAACCCTCCGTGAAGGACATTAGGAGGGTAAAAACTCGGAGGAGGGCCTTCTCTGTGGTGACGCCCAATCTATGGAATGCGCTCCCCAGAGAGGTCCGCCTGGTGCTGTCATTATTTGTTTTTCGGTGCCAGGCCAAGACCTTTTTATTTAAAAGTTATTTTAATTGTTAATTTATGAATTGTATTTATTGGGTTTTTATGTACATGTCGAGATGTTTCTGTTTTTTTTTTAACTGTAATTATATAATTGGTTATTTATGTTTATTTATTAATGTTGTAAGCCGCCCCAAGGCTTTTTGTGAATGGGGCGGCATAAACATTGTTTAAATAAATGAATAATAAAATAAAACACAAATTACAGGGATCTTGTTTGGGAAAGCAAAGCAATAAGTAACTCTGCTTGTTGTTGTTGTTGTTAGTTGCGAAGTTGCATCCAATCCATCACAACCCCATGGACAACATTCCTCCAGGCCTTCCTGTCCTCCACCATCCCCCGGAGTCCACTTAATGAAGGGTAAAATAGCCCTGGGAATGTGTATTTGCCATGATTCTGCCATGGTAGCTGGTTATTATTTTTATGTATTTATTTTCTGTATTTGTTTACAGAAGTGCTTGGCTGGATTTATTTATATTCTAGCTTTCTGCCAAGCAGAGTCAAAGAAACTAGACACGGCAAGAAGCCATTAGTGTCTTGGCAGCCTGAGGATCCCCCACCAAATACCGAGCACGAACTCGGGGTTGCCTAGTCCAAGAATATGTTTGCAAACTCTGCACCTGAGAAATATAGACCTTTGAAAAATACACAACTCCCTTTGAGCAAGCAAAGAAATTAAAAAAATTTAAACAACACGAATGAGAACAAGAATGAGCAAATCTTAAAGTTTAGGGAGTTTCCGAAAGTTTAAACATCCCTCGTTCTGGTAGCCAATTCAGCAAGCAGAAGAAAACAGTCCAGTTTGCTTTTCTATCCCCACGTCATTTGGCAGACGTGCTACCTTGTCGTTGGCCAGCTGCAGGTGCTTGTGGAGCGACACCACCTCCTGCTTCAGGGCCTCTTTCTCCTGTTGCGATACTCGCAGGTCTGACTTCAGCCTGGACATCTGAAGGTTGACGTTCTGCACGGCATCGTCAAACATCTGGATCTAGGAACACCAGAGGACGGGGAGGAGGAGAAGATCAATCCGGCATCAGAGAGGCGTTTCGCAGGTTTGCAAACGCAACGGCAGGGTGTGCGTTGGGAACAAGCTGCGCTGGCCGGCTGGAGCGTGCATTATAGGGAGAGAAATCTGACGGGAGTTGCACAACGGCTGTTGGAAAAGAGAAGTTTCTCCACCCTCCATGTAAATGCGAGAATTACTTTTCTGCTCTTCAGAAGGGCAAAGGGCAGGAATACACATTTATTTATTTATCTATATTGCGATTTATATCCTGCCTTTTTCCGACAAAGGGCTCAAGGCAGCTTACATCCTTCTCCTCCTCCATCTTATCCCCACAACAACACCCCTGTGAGGTAGGTTGGGCTGAGCCTGCTGCCATCCAGAAAGGTTATTCCAATGGTCCAGAAGGGGAGCAATTTAACGTTCAAGTAATGTCTGGCTAGACTGCTGCAGTCAGGCAGGCAGGCCAACATGGGTAAGAGGGGAACTTAGCTGCAGAATCGTAGAATCACAGAACAGCAGAGCTGGAAGGAAGGGGCCAGAGGGCCGCTGGGTCCCAAGCCCCGCTCAGTGCAGGATTCCCAGTTAAACCCTCCCTCCCAGAAGGCTGCAGAGACAAAACCCTGGGCGAGCGCAGATGCTGCTTTAACTCCGCCATGAAGCAACTCAAGGATCCTCCTGAAGGGTGATATTCCCCCCGCCCCGCCACCTTGTTTTGAAGGGATGACATGCAAATGCACGGCTAGAGACCAGGCTGGGGGGAAGCACCTGGGCACCAACACCACACCTTGTCTTGCGCTGCGCCCACCTGGGCTTTCAGAGCCTGGTTCTGGTGCTCCAGGGAGGACTTCTCCTGCTTCAAGGAAGCCACGAGGCTCTCCAGGAAGGCCGCTTTGGTCACCTACGACGGGGAGAGGAAAGCCCCCAGGCCAGCCAGCATCAGCTCAGGGCGACCTCAAGTCGCTGGCGCCTGACAGGGCCCCCTGCAGGTGCTCCGGGACCCCCCTTGCCCCTTGTCCCGGTCCGTAGTCCCAGGGAGATGGGCTGGAGCCCCTTCTAATTCCGCAGAAGCTCCCGACTCTGCATGGCCCTGGCGCAGGGGGCAAGCCGGGTGGCAGGCCCAGCTGCCGGCACAGGGTGGGAAGCCCCTCGGGCCCCCTCCCCCCGGGAGCCAGCCTAGGTCCCTGGGCTCTCGGCTGACTTCCCGGGAGGCAGGACAGAGCCAGTCTTTACTGGCTCAGGTCTGGAGCAGGTCTTCCCCAACCCAGTGTGCTGGACTACAACTCCCATGCTGACGGGGGCTGATGGGAGTCGCAGTCCCGCACATCTGGAGCACACTGTGATGCTCAGAAAGGCAGCATTTTGTGGTCTGAATCCTGTTTCTTCAGCTTTGATAGCCCCACGCACCCAACCGGGCCCATGTTTTGTCTGTGGGGAGGCAGGACAGTCCGACGTCTCTTGCCGGCGAGGCTGGGGCTGGGGCTCCAGTCTCCTCTTAGCAATGAAACTCACTAGGTTTGTACTGCACATTTATACCCCACCTTTTCCCCTTCTCAGGCATTCAAGGCGGCTTACATGGTCCTTCTCTTAATCTTTTCCCCACCACAACCACCCTGTGAGGTAGGTCAGGCTGAGAGTCCGCGACTGGCCCAAAGTCACCCAGTTGGCTCCATGGCTGAGCGGGGACTCGAACCCAGGTTTCCCGAGTCTGCATCCCACGCTCTTAACCACGACACCAAACTGGCTCTCTCTCTTGGGTAGCTTTGGCCCAGGCGCAGACTCTCAGCCCGGCCTACCTCGCAGGGTTGTTGCTATGACAAGAACACAGCGAAGAAAGAGGGTCACATAAGCCAGAAGGGGTTCTTTGAAAAAGGAACAAAACGGGGGGGGGGGGGTGTGCAGGTGATCGTGAATACACAAGAGCAGGGTGTTCATTGCAGCTGGCTTCATCTGAAGCGCCCACCTTCTCCACACATCGGTTCAGCTCTTCGCTGAGCGTCTCCTTCTCTTTCAACAGTTTCTCATTTTTCACAGTGATGCAGGAAATCTTGTTCTGGAGGTGCGAGAGGTCAGGGCACCTGGGCAGCTGCAGGGACAGAAGCGTTGCTGAGCCTCGAAAACGGAACCAGGGGCTTGCCACCTGGCGGGGGGGGGTCCTTTGGAGCACCCCAACTGTTTCGAGGAAGCGAGCGCAGCCCGGGGGGCGAGGGGCCACCCCTCGGGGCAGGGCACCCGCCTTACCTGCTTCACCTTCTCCAGGTCTTCCTTGAGGAAGTGGTTCTCCTGCTCCAGAGCAGAGGCGTGAGCCCTGAGCTGGGACAGCTCCGTCTCCAAGGACGAGACCAGCGCCGAGGACTGGGGGCAAACCACAGCACGGTCAGACTGGGGGCCGGGTGCGCTTTCAGCTTGGCTACAGCAGGAAACGGCTCCTCAGAACATGACTTTCTTCTGCATAGCTGGGAACAGCCTTTGCAATTGCCTGGGGGTGGGGGGGCACCTTTGTGTGGGTCAGAGGGGCCGGCGTGGGGTGCAGTGCCTTGGCCAGCACTAACCGGCCAAAGCTGCAGGTTAATTGTGGAACGGCCACCAAGTCACTCGGCCTTCCTCAACCCACGCCCCCCAGATGTCTCAGACTACAATGCCCATCACCCCAGCCCAGCCAAGGCCATGCTGGCTCAGAACGATGGGTGTGGTAGTCCAATATATCGGGAGGCTGCCCGGCTGGGGAAGGCAGAGTTCTCGCATTCCTTGCCGAGAGAGGTCTGGGGTCTCCAATCCAGGCAAGCCCCTGGCTCAATGGGGCCAATCCTGACCACCGGCAGATCTGTCACCCGGGTCACTAAGGGCACTTAGACCTGCACAGGGCCTTTCAAAGGGCCTCCCCTGCCTGAACGCAGGTCTCAGCAGTGACAACGGCCCCAGAACAGGGCGATACTTCTGCCACGGGGCAGAAGGGTGAGGCGGGCAGGACCGAGTGCCCGAGTTGCCGTGGGGCCTTCCCAGGCTGTGGCAGAGGCGAGAGCCGGCCCCGGCGCTCCCACGGCTCAGGCTCGGCCTCGGCAGGGTCCGTCGGTGCTCGCCGTACCTGAATTTTGCAGTTCTCCAGCTCTTCCAGCAGCCGGGAGCCTTCTCTGCCCCAGTCCTCCGGCGCAGCCCTCCCGGCCGCCTTCTCCTTCTGCCGAAGCATCCTCACGAACCGCTGATTCAGATCGTGCGCCTCCGCCTGCGTGGGGGAGCTCTTGCGGCCCAGTTCGGCGTTTTCCAGTTCCAACTGCTGGTTCCTGGCTTTCAGTTCCGACGCCTGAGGAACGGACGGGAGCCCGGCATGAACCAGCGGCAAAGAAAGGCAGTTTCCAGCGGCCGGCCCTGGGAAGAGGGTGCCTGCCCCGTCCCAGGCTGCTCCCTTCCCCTTTGCAACAGCAACTCGCACGGCTGTCTCCGGGGCCGGTTCCCATTATCCCCAGCTAGCATGAGCCATCCTGGCCTGGATTATGGGAACTGTAGTCCAACCCATCTGGAGGGCACTGGGTTCAGGCCAAAGGTGGGAACAGTGCTGACGAATGCTGCTCATGAGGACTCAAAGCGCTCGGGATCGGGCTGGAACCCCATGCCCTGAGCCCTCCGGCACTGACCCCAAAGCAGCCCCCTCACCCCTTGGTCCTGGCCCAGGGCCCCTCCTCTCCCTCAAAGCTTGAAATTGTGTCATGTATAAAGTACTGTTACATTGTTCCTCAGTTTAAAATATGTGGGGCTGAAAGCAACTTGCTGGCTGGATGCAGCAACCATGCAATCTGGAAAGCCCCTTTTTTTTAATCTGCACGGTGTGTGCATTCAAATAAGCACCAGTTTTCTTATGCACCTCAAACTTTCGAAGCCGAGAGCTGCGTCTGACAATCAGCGAGCATGAAACCGGGGGGGGGGGGGGGGCATGTTCCGATTCCTACTTGAGCCCTGGCAGAGCAAACCGGCTCAGCTTTCGCCAGAGCGCAAAGATGGTCTTTCTGGAGCTTCAGAACATCAGACGAGGCCTCTGGATCAGATGCGGATCCAGGCGGTCCAGTGTCCCATAAATGGGGCCGTCAACCACGGGAACCCACACGCAGGACACAGATGCACGGCACCCTCCCATCCATGTTCCCCTGCACCCAGTGCATAAAAAGCATACAGTCACCGGGACGAGCAGCCCCCAGTGGCCGTTTTCTCCAATGAGCTTGTCCAACTCCCTTTTAAAGCCACCCGAATTGGCGGCCACTTCCCTGAATTCCAGTGATGCTCCAGGCGAAGAGGCCCTTCCTTCGATCTGCCCTGAATCCCCCCCCCGCTAACGTCTCCTTTCCCCCTTTCTCCACACCGTGCATCATTCGGCACCCCCCCATCGCTTCTCGCCTCGCTCGCCATTCTTCCCAATGAAATCATTCCAGCTGCTTCCGCATCTGGAGGAATTTCGTTGCCTGGCCACCAAAGACACAGAAAGAAGCTTTGCCTAAAAGCCGAGAGACTCACCTGCTGCTTCAGATTCTCAGCCATCTTCTGCACGGCTGCTTTCTCCTTCTGCACAGTTTCTACTTTTTGCCTAAAATAAGCAGAGTGGACAAAACGGTGATTGTACGGTGGACCTTGGGAGGGAGGTAGAAAGAATTAGCAACCATAATAGATACATATCAAAACAGCTAAAACCAGTGCTGACAAAATGGTCAGAAATCCCTGTTACGGCAATATATATGACCTGAATAATGCTCCCCCCCCCCCGGAAAAAAACCCAGTAAAATTTTGTGTGCACAAGAATGGTTTAAAGCCTCATTCCCCTGGGGGCATGTAGAGCAGGGCTGAGTGACCCGCGCTGCTTATGCCTCAGCACTGGCTGTGCCGGCTGGGGCTGATAGGAATTGCAGGCCAACGTTCCTGGAGTCCCACAGGCTGCCCACCCCCGATCGGGGGATGCTTACCGGAGTTCTTCTCCATGCAGCTCCCTGGACTGCAGGCCGGACACGCTCCCTTCCTCGGTTAAGAAGGCCACCTTGTTCTTCAAAGCGAGGTTTTCCTCCCTGAGATGCTCAGCCTCACTTCTGGAGCGGGGAGCAAAAGACGCAGCCCTTTGAGGTGCTTGAGGTATACGGGTTCCTCCTGCCCGGATTTCTGTGCCGAGCCGCGTGCACTGCTTTGGACACCAGCCCAGCGTGTTCCACGTCTGGAGGGAGCCCCTCCCCACACAGGGGCTGGCCTAGCAAGACCCCCGAGAGCCTTCCAAGGCGAGCCGCACGCTGCAGGGGATTCTGGGCGTGTGGCCAGCCCAGGGCAGCCAGGGGCCAGCCCTGTGGGAGTTCCCTCGCTTTCACAACACCAGGGCCCACCAACAGGAGCTGGATGCCACGTATCGGCTCGAGGAAGAGCCTGCATCCTCCCGTGGCGGAGTCTGCAATTTGCGACCTCGAGCTGCCGTAGCTTGTGCTTCCGAATGTACTGGACTGCAACTCCCATCATACCGGCTCAGATTGACGGCAGGTGCAGTCCACCACCTCTGCAGGCAGCAAGCTAGGGCAGGCCGCCCCCCCCCCCCCCGCCCCGCACAAGGCAGCTCTCCCTTTGCGTTCCTGCAGAGGAGTCCAGCACTGTGAGGTAAAGGGTGTAACTGCTAAATAGCCAGGATCTGGAGACCCCGTGGCTCCACTCTCGCTTCCTGCAGGACGCGTGAGAGAATCATGGGGGACGCAGGCCAGACCAGTTAGATCACGCCAGTGGCCTCGTGGATCGAGCACCCCGGAAGAGCCCCCACACACCGCAGCAGGGGAAGAAATGCAACCGTGGAATTGTTCGGCAAAATGCCTCAGCCCCAACGGCTTTCTACTGACGAATCCCTCGTAAGATTCCAGCCACATGAAAGAGTTCCCCAGAAAATCTGATGACACCTCATCTGTTAATATATCTAAAGCTGATATTCCTGTGCATGGGATCTTGGTAGGCAGAACAAGACGGGAAGAAATGGAAATTGGCTGTTTTGCTACTGGTGGAGGTTATGCACACTAAAAGGTGTAGAATTGAGGTGCGGCAGGAAAGAGCAGAAGAGTAGAGGGGAGTAGAAGAGTAGAGCAGTACTGGCACGAGGAGGTCTCCAAAATATTCGCACAGGCAAGTTGGGCAGCTGCTGACGGACCCACCAGTCACCCCCCGCTGACCCTTTGGAGACGTGCCCCCCGATCCACAGCGCCCGGCTCCCCCTCCCCAAAAACACAGGAAAGGTGACTGGTTTCTGTCAGAGTCCCAGAAGCTCTTCTAGACAAGACTACTCTATCTGTTAATGCAAGTAGTACGGAGAAGTCAGTAGGAGCGATTACGAGGAGCCGAGCGAGGCGTTAGGTGGTTAGTTTCAGAAAGCTGGGCAAAGCAGCAGAATCTGGGCTGCGCCAAGACTTCTGCGTTACCTCAAGGACTCGAGCCGCCGCTGCTGTGCGGCACAGGTGTTCTGCAAGCCACGGAGGGCCGTGTTCAAGCCGTCCTTCTCCTGCGCGTGCGTGCCCTTCTGCCTCAGCAGCACGGCTATTTTCTCCTTGAGCTTCCTGTTCAGTTCATGGAGGCCCTTCTTTTCCACCTCCGCCGTCTCCTTGGCCGCTTCCTCGCTGCGGCCAGGCCTGCCCCGCTTCAGGGCCTTCAGGTTCACCGCAAACTCCTCCAGCTTCTCCAGCTGGCTTTGCAGAGCCAGCTTGGAGCTCTGCAGCTCGGCGTTCTCCTTAGCAAACCGGCTGCGGCCCTCTTCCAGCTCCCTCACTTTCTGCAACAGCTGCAAGTTCTCCTCCTTGAGGACCAGACTTTCTTGGTCAATTTCGACCAGCCTGCCCTGCAAGCTGGCCAGACTGGGCAGGTAGCCTTCCAGCTTGCTGTTCCGTTCCAGCAGCTTGATCATCTCGGCTTTCAGGACCCGGTTTTCCAGCTTGAGTTCTTCTGGCAACCGCAGACCCTTGGGCTGAGCTCTGAAGCAAACGTCCTTCTCGGCCACTGTGCCCCAAAGCTCCGGCACCAGCTCTTCCAGCCCTCCTTGCTCAGTCCCAGCCCCTTCCCTGAGGCTGATCTCAAGCGGAGGAGAAACGTCACTCATCTCCGCAGCCGTCAGTTCAGCCCCCAAAGCCTCCACAAAGAACGATTTGCTTCTGGTGGAACCGTCCGCCGTTTCCCAGTGGGATCCTTCCTCACTCCGTTCACTTCCACAGAGCAGGGGCTTCGGCTGCGGGATGGTCTTCAAGATCTCCTCGAGCTCCTTCTGGACCTGGGAGGCCATATCTTGTCGGTCATGGGCTGCCCGGTCGCATTCTGCCTCCAGCTGAGCAATCCGCTCTTGAAGCAGGCGCTGCTGGCGTTTGAGGGCTTCATTCTCTGCCCAAATGCCTTCACGGGCCTCCTCCGAGACAAGGGAGGTCTCCATGGTTTCTCCAGAAAGGGTGCCTTCCAATCGCCCATCTGACGCTTGCATCCCATCTTCTGATTCTGCTGGACAGTGGCCTTCGGTGGTGCTATTTAGGAGGTGAGAGTCCACAAATGCTTCCGGAAGCAATGGGACGAACCCAGGGGATGGGCTTGGCCCCCTCGCCGGCTCTTCCAGTAACTTACCCATCCCAGGAGGAGCTGCTCCATCACTTCCTCCTGTCGTCTCTGGAACATCTTCCTGGGCTGAGAGAAAGCTTCTCGCCTCTCCTGCCTCCTGGGGACTGGCAGGCCCTGGAGAATCACTCTTGCACGTTTGCGTTTCTTTGTTCAGAAGGACTAAATTCCTCTGCCGTTCGGACAGGTGCTGCAGTTCCCGCTGGGCCTCTTCCATCTTCGCTCTCAGCGCTCTTTCTTCTTCTGCAGCCTTGCGGAGGGCCTCTTGCTTCAAATGCTCCACAGACGCCAGCCTGGAGTTCAGCAGTTCCTTCTCGTGCACAGCTCGCCGCTGTTCTCCTTCCATGGCAGACGTCTCTCTGTCCCTCTTCTCGAGTTCCGCTTCGTGGCTGGCTTGGATTTGCGCCAGCCTCTCCTGCAGCGCACCCTCTTGCGCCTTCATGTCCCGCAGCTCCTTCTGAAGCTGCCCTTTCTCCAGCGCCAAGGAGTTGGCCTGCTCCTTGAAGTCCTTCTCCAGGCGCTCCCTCTCTTGGGCGAGGGCCGCAGAAACGGCCTTCTCCTTCTCCAGCATTTCCCCCCACCGCTCCTGGGCTTCAGCACCTTCCTGGGCTATTTCGTCCCGCTCGAATTCCCACTTGGATCTCTCCTCCCCCTGCAGCTTGGCGAGTTCCCGCAGCTCGTGCTGGTAGCGCTCCTCCAGTCCTTTCACGGCGTCCCCGTACTTGTGCATGAGTGCCTGCCGCTCGGCGCCGAACTGCTCCTCTGCCCAGGACAGTCTTCTGCTAAACTCACTTTCCATTTCTGTCCTATATGTGGTCAACACAACATATTACTGAAGTCTCTACGAACACAGAGAATTGCAGACCAGTTAATGCACTAGTCCTCAGGACAGAGAATTGCAGACCAGCTGATGCACTAGTCCTCAGGACAGAGAACTGCAGGCCAGCTGATGCACTAGTCCTCAGCCTTTTCGAGCCCTGGAACTTAGCTTTCACCTCTGCCTGCAAGAGAGAGCCCACGTGCCACTTTTGGCCTTGTATCTTGGTTTCCTAATTTTATTCACCCCCTCGCACACTGGTTTTTCCCTTCCTGCTCCCTTTTGAAGAGCAAACAACCCCATGCTTTAAAACATGGACCGTGTGGCCTCGGGCTACCAGATAAAGAGAAGCGGGGGACTGGCTTATTTAGCAATGCTGCGTTTACCCAGACGTTCCATCCGAGCAGCGCAGCGGGATGCATTTGGACAGATGACGGGGGGGGGGTGGCCTCGTTGGAGGGGAAGAACCGAAGAGGGGCTCGTATTCCCTTTGAGATGCCGAAGGGCGGGCAAAGGCTCCCGGCCGAGAGCGCGTTAGAGACGCATCTGCAGCGTCAGGGCTGCCCGCTCTGAGCTCGGACTCCAGCTCGGACGAGGACGGGCCAGATCCACTGGGCCAAGGCTGTGGAAGCAGAGATGCCGGGAGCAGCCCACCAGAGGCCTTGAGCTAGGGACCCCTGAACCGGGCCGCCAGGGGCCCTCTGGGCTCTGCATACGAGAGACTCACACCCCAAGTTGGCCCGTCGGTGAAGGCAGCAAATTTGGAAGGAACTGTCTAAGCCTGGGCTGAAGAAGCTTGGAAGAAGGGTCCGAGCTGGCCTTGGGAGGCTATCCTGAGGCCCTTCATTTTCCAGCAATTTGGCGGCTTCAGGGCCTTCGTACTGCCCCCCCCCCCGCCCGCCATGGTGTAGCACCTGGGACTACAGGCTTCCAGGTAAAACAGGCTGGAATTCTGGCTCCGGCATTTGCCTTCCTCCACCCCCCACCCTCCCAAGCGGCCTGTGGCCCTCGGGCTGCCGCATCCTGTTCTAAACCGCCAGCCAGTTTCCTTCCAGGCTGCCCTCCCTCGGGGACGCAAGCAGAGCTTCGGGAAGCCCTCGAAGGGACCCAGGCTGTGGCAAGTGACTCAAGAGGAGCTTCCTGGATGGGAGAGCAAGAACCAGGGAGCTCGCGCAGCCCAGTCCATCCACACGACCGAGCCAATCCGAGCCGCCAAGAGCAAGGGCCCAGCGAGTCCCTCAACGAACGTCAGCCGGGCCGCAAGCGCAGGGCGTTCGTCTCCCCCATCGCCGGCCACCTCGCAGGGTTGTTTGGGCTGCAGTGGAGACTAGGGAGGGCATCCAACCCCTAAAGGTACGGCGTGGGACTGGGACACCGGAAATCCAGGTTCGAGTCCCCACTCAGTCCTGACGCTCCCTGGGTGACCTTGCGCTACACAGGGACTCTCAGCCCAACCTACCTCACAAGGTTTTTGTGGAGAGGATGAAATGGAGAGGAAGAAAAGCTTGTAAACTGCTTTGTGTTCCTTGCAAAAGGAAGACAGGTGGGATATACATGTAAAACAATGATATCCTATTTTGATTTTATTATATTTCTATCGCATTTTGATTTTAGTATGTTTTCTGGTTGTTTGCTGTTGTTATTTATATTTTTATATATTGCACTGTGGGTGGCATACAAATGCGATAAAGAAATAATTAATAGATGGCGCTGATGCCACCACCTCAACCAGATTCTCGTTAGCAACGTTGTAAAGATTTGATACCTAACAGGTGCTTTTTCTTAATCTCTATAAAGCATTCAGAGAACGAGAAAAGACAGGTGGCAAAGGCCTTTATCCGTGGTGAATACGGGTGCGATGACACCCCCACAATGAGAGCCAGTGTGGCACAGTGGTAAAAAGACCAGGGAGGTCCGGGTTCGAGTCCGCGCTCAGCCACGGAGCTCACTGGCTGAGCGCGGACACAGCCTCTCAGCCCAACCTACCTTGCAGGGCTGTTGTGAAGATAAGACTGTGAGGAGAAGAATTATGGAAGCCACTGAGATTTCCTTGGAAGGAAAAAGGGTGTGGTATAAATATAACAAACAAACAAACCCTGGCCTGGAAGCTTGTGAATTAAGAGTACTTCCAACCAGTCCAAAGTCCCAACGGTGGATGCGGTTGGTTGTGAGGCAGGGAATAATTCAGGCTTACGCAGAGTCTGATGGAAAACACCGCATCACGCGGCCGTCGGCCCCCTTGGTCCCCTGCGGAAGCCGGCCCAATCCCGGCCTCTGACCGGCTCTTCCTGGGTCCCATGCAGAGCTTGCTTCCACTGCCAGGAGCACCCCAAGAGCAGAAGGGGGGAGCTCCTGCCAAACCCCGGCTGTGATTTGCACCCCCTGCAAAAGAGCCCCTTGGCCTGGGAAGCCCCTCAGTGAGCAGAAGGAAATGTGGGGCCGAAGCCCGGAATTTATCCCCCCCAACCACTGGGATCCGCCCCTGCAAAGATCTCGGGGAGCACCGACGGATGCGGGGGAGCCTGCTCCCGCCAGCCGGGCGAGCCTGAAGGTCCCTGTGGGAGGCGGAAAGCCCGGCAGGCGGCGCCAGTCCGCACCTTTGCTGCTGGAGCTCCTGCAGGTGTTGGCCCAGCTGGTCCTGCTGCAGCCGGTCCTTCTCCAGGGCGTGCTCCTCCACCAGCCTCTGCAGCTGCCGCTGGAAGCCGTCCTCCAGCTCGGCCTTCTCCTCCCGGGCGGTCCGCGCCAGGGCCCGCATCTGCTCCTCCGCCCACGCCCGGGCCCGCACCAGCTCCTCGCGCTCGCGCCGAAAGGCCTCCTGCGCCTCCTCCAGCCTGGCCCGGAGCGCCCCCTCGTGCTGCAGCTGCAGCTGCTCCATCAGGCTGGCCTTCTCCCGCAGACACGCCTGCAGGCGGCTCTCCTCCACGCTCTCGCGGGGGGCAGCCTCCCGCCGGAGCCCCGCCAGCTCGCCCTCCAGCTCGGACACCCGGGCCTGCAGCTGCTCCGCCTGCTGCTCCAGGGCTCGCCTCTCCTGGCTGTGCTGCCGCCGGAGGGCCTCCTGCTCCTCCTCGCCGCGGGCCTTGGCCTCCTCGAGCTGCTTCTCGTAGTGGCAAATCTAGGCAGGGGGAGAAAAGCACCAGCAGGAGGCCTTTCAGAGGACTGCCTTCCAGAAGGACTTGGAGGCCTCTGGTGCTTGGGCTGCAACTCCAGCCAAGCTGGCCGTGCATGATGGAGCTGAAATCCAGCACCTCGCCAGGGATGCAAAGGGCTGTTCTAATCGTGCCGGAGACTTGGGCACAGCAAGGAGAGACGGGGAAGTCAGGGATTCAACGGCTTGCAAACCATTACAGGCAGGGTGATGGGGTGGGCAAAGGACCGGACCAGAACCAAGACTGGGTGGTGTGGAGGACACCTCCGGAGGACCTGCCCACCTCAGGGCTGACGTGCCCCTAAGGACATTAGAAGAGCCCTGCCGGATCAGACCCAAGGCCCATCCGCCCAGCGCGCTGCTCACGCAGTGGCAAAACAGCTGTTCACAGGACCCCTCCAGCAGGATGGGTGCAAGGCCTCCGCCTGCCCAAGGTCTCCAGCAACGAGCGTGTGGAGGCAGGCTGCCTCGCGTGATGTGGACAGCGCCCGGCCAGCAAGGCTACGAGGAGCCACTGACCTCCTCCTCCTCCTCCATTTGGAAACACAGAAACAGGGCGAGTCAGAAGGGGTCTCCCGGGCCATCTAGTCTGACCCCCGGCTCCAGCCAGCTCCGCTCACGACAAGCCCACCATGTGCATGTCCAGCCTATCCTTGAACACCCACACCGATGGGGCCTCAGCTGCCTCCTGAGGAAGCCCATTCCACACCCTCGGGGTCCTGACTGTCAGGAAGTGCTTCCTGGCATCCAAATTGAACCTTGGTTCCCTGAGCTTGGCTCCATTGGAACGTGTCCTGCCCTCCACCGCAGGGGAAAACGGGTCCTGACCCGCCTGTGCATGGCGCCCCCTCGCATACCCGTGCGCTGCTAACAGGTCCCCTCGGAGTCTGCTCCTCTCCAGGCTGAAAAGGCCCAGCTCCTTCCCTTGCTACATCCCTCCTGTGACGCGGGGCCCAGAACTGAACGCAACACTCCAGCTGCGGGCGCACCGGAGTCGTATGTAATTCAAGCCCCCAGCGCTGCCTCGGGGAGTGAATCCCACAGTCCAGTTGCGCATGGTGTGAGAAAGCGCTCCTATTTGTGCGCTTTCTCACACGATGCTCCTAATCCTGAGCATCAGGGAATCTCACCAGCATGAAGAGAAAGGGAGAAAGAAGGGAACCCGTAGGGAACCCCGAGTCCCTCCCACAGGAAGAATGCCCCACAGCCAGGGAATGGCCACAGACCGGCGGTGCCCCACGGGACGTGCCCCCGATGCAGGCCTGCTTTCTGCTGCAAAGTGTCTTCCAGAACGCCAAGGGACGCGCGGCCCAGTGGCGCAGCTTCCCTCTTCCACGCAGAGTATGGCGCACGCAGGGTGAGCGCCCCGATGCGGTTCCACTGCTCCAAAAGTGCCGGGGCAGCTGCAGCCGAGATCTACTCCTGGGCTCGCCGATTGCCGGGGCGGGAACAGCCAGCCTCCCGCCACAGTCCTTTCAAACCATCCCCACCATTCTGCACACACTCAGTGCCAGCCTGGTGCCCAACACACGCCAGTCCGCAGCCGCCATCACCTCCGGCTCGCGTGCCCAGCAGTCAGGAGAGCCCCACGCACCTGGGAGGAGGCCGGCTGGGAAAGGCTGCGGAGCAGCAGGGCGGGCTTCATCGCCACTCTCCTCCTTCTCTTCCTCTTCTTCCGCCCCTCCTGGGAGAGCTTCCAGTTGTGATTTTTAAAACATTTTGGCAAGACCCCGTTTTCCGGGAAGACTCTGATCTTTCTGTTGCCCCCTCCTGCGTCAACGTAGGTGGGCGCTTCCCCCACCTGAACGGCATCCCTACGCGAGTTGCAGGGGCAAGGAAAGGCATGTCCCAGCCAAGTGAGGAAGCGGGTCTGTCTTCCAGATGTGCCGGACTGCAATTCCCCGGGAATGCGGAGAGTTGTAGCGCAACACATCTGCAGGCCCGCAGGCTGCGGGTGCCGAGCGATGCGCAGGCCTCTTACCGTCTCTTCCAGGCCCTGTCGCAAGTTGCGCAGGTCGTGGTGGTGCTGCTCCTTCATGTGCTCAATGGCCATTTCGGCCTCAATGCTCATGTTCAGCGGGTTGCAATCCTCAGAAGCCGGTTCTAAAAAGGCAAGTTGGCAGAGAAACATGCGTCTTTGGGGCTCTTGTCCAGGGGTCTGTGGGGAAACTAACCGATGAGGGCCAAGAGGAAGACATGTTGAAACCCTGGAATGTTTACAGCAGCAAGCTGCAAATCAGCTCTGCAACATGTGGCTGTGAGAGCTGGACCATAAGGGAGGCTGAGCGCCGATGGATTGGGGCCTTTGAACTGGGGTGCTGGAGGAGACTCCTGCGAGTCCCTTGGACCACGAGGCGATTAAACCGGTCAGTCCTAGAGGAGATCAACCCTGACTGCTCTTTAGAAGGCCAGATCTTGAAGATGAAACTCAAATACTTTGGCCACCTAATGAGAAGGAAGGACTCCCTGGAGAAGAGCCAAATGCTGGGAACAATAGATGGCAAAAGACGAAGGGGACGGCAGAGGATGAGGTGGCTGGATGGAGTCACTGAGGCAGTCGGTGTGAGCTTAAGTGGACTCCGGGGGACGGTGGAGGACAGGAAGGCCTGGGGGAGTGTGGTCTATGGGGTCGCGATGGGTCGGGCACTAATTCACGACCAAACAGACAAAAACAGATGGGCAGAGGCTGCTGGAAGCTTGGCTGGCAGCTATGGCGTCATGCTTTGAACCTGCTTTTGCTTACGCTGCCCTGATTTCTCCTGAATCGTATCCAGGGATTTGGAACGACGGTTGCCAGGATCCGTCAGTGAGGGGCCACCTTGGGCACAGCGGACGGGAGCAGCAGGCCAGACCATCTGGCGGGCCCCAGGCAGGGGCAGCGCCGCGACACTCTCTTTCGCAAGAACTCCTCTCTGCCCGGTCGGCGAGGAGGTGTGCAGAAGGCCTCTGCTGCCTCCCGGCAGGCTGGCCTCCTGCAGTAGCCGCTTCAACGGCCCCGAAGGCTTAAAGCTGGGGGGCAGGACCGTCGGTCCCTCTGGGGGGGGTCTGGCCTTGAAGGAATTGCACTCGGGTGGGAGAGAACCACGGGAATGCGGGCTCGCCACCTGGAGAGGGCCCCGAGGAGGGCTCGGGCGGGCAGGTATTGTCCGTGGCTGCACCCCCTGCCACCTAGCCTGCGGAAGGCTGCTGGGGACCCCCGCCCCCCCCCCATGCTGTTCTGCATGCCGGCCCAAGTTACCTTGATCGCACTCCGCTGCGCCATGGCCCAGCTCCTCAAAGAGTGAGTTTTTCAGCGGAGAGCGGCCAGCTCTGCCTTGTGCCTGGAACGACTCCAGCTGAGACTGCAGCTCATCGATCTGATCTTGCAGCTCCTGGGCGACAAGAGGGGCGCTGGCAGCCCAGCCCAGCAATGGGGCAGCCCCCCCGCCACAGTTGGCCGGGGCAGCCATCTTTTGGGGGTGGCCGGGCGGGGGGCAGCTGGCCCCAGTCCTCTTCAACACCGAGGAGGAGAGGCAAACAAGGTGCTTTAAGAGCAGAGCCTTCGCCTTTCTACGGCAGTGTGTGGCGCTTCGTGCAACAGCCTTGCGAGGTAGGACAGGGCCATTGCCCCGGGGTGGTGGTGAAGTTAAGCTAAGCAAACTGTGGCTTGGCCAGTGGCATCTGGCCAGTTCGTGGCCGCAGGGAGACGCGAATCGGGGCCTCGCCGATGCCCTCGCTTTGCCACTGCGCCACAGCAGCTCTCTTAGAAAAGAAAGCTGGGGCTGGAGGCACCACCCCGTTCGCAGCCGGGGCAGACCAGCCCACGGCACCCGGCACCCGACCTGCGCCCCTTCGCAGCGCGCTCACCCTGCACTGCGCCTCGTGCTTGTTCTTCATCTGCATCAGCCGCTCCTCCTGCAGGAAGAACTCCGCGCTGCCAGGATCGAGGTCCCCGAACTGTGGCCAGAGACACACGCTCACCTGTCGGCTCCGCATGAACAGCCAAGCCAGCTAGATAGTTTCTGCCTCGCTGATGTGAGCAGTTCCAGCCGGCTCGGGGCGCAAAGTCTAACGTCTTTTGCTGGACTCTGGCGCAGGGAGCTCTGGGGCAGCCAATCAGTGGCGCCTCCTGGCTTTTAACAAGCCAAGCCAGGCCAGGCCAAGCCAAGCCAAGCCAAGCCAAGCCAAGCCAAGCCAAGCATGCCAACTCTGGCTGGCAGGAAGTCTCCACTGCCTCTGCTATGAGAGAATCTGTTCATGCCCACCTGCTCAAAACATTTTCACTAAAAATACTAAAAGTTGAAGCGGAGTCTTTAAAACTGCAGAGCGGGTTCCCTGCTGTTGCCCAGCCTGCCCGGTTCATTTGGACCTGGTAGAAGATGCTTCAGCTTAGCAACATGATTGCAAAGAACCCCATGCAAATTAAGACAGGAAAAAGACCTACAACGTGAAATGCGCTTCGTAAGTTGTTTTCCTGCCTAAACTTACATAGGATCGGACCTAGAGTGGTTGGCAGACTAAAACAACCTTCCCCAAACCGGATGTGTTCAGCTACATGGCAATTTGTGGAATGATGGGCATGCTAGTCCAACCAGGAGGGCTGGAGTAAAAACCATCATCTAGATGATGATGAAAGTAAAGAGGAGGAGGAAATAAATTGTGATGCCAAACGCCAAATTAAGATCCAAATCACGGGGCCCTTGAATAACAGGTAGAAGCAAAAGCAGATTTTTAGAGCCACAGAGAAATCAAAAAGCCAAGGGAAAATTATTTATTTATTTATTTATTTGGAGTTTTTGTATGCCGTCCCATTCGCATGAGCCTCGGGACGGCTTCCAACACAATAAATAAACAAGCATATAAAGAATACATATTAAAATCCAGATTCACCCTGGCTGTAAAAATTAAAACCAATAAATAATATTAACAGTTATTAAAATATTGTTTAAATAAAAAGGTCTTGGCCTGGCACCGAAAAAAAAATAATGACAGCGCCAGGTGGACCTCTCTGGGGAGCGCATTCCGTAAGTGGGGCGCTACCGCAAAGAAAGCCCTCCTCCAGGTACTCACCCTCCTAATATCCTAATATCCTCCTAAAAATTAAAAAGAAGATCATTTCCTGGCATTGAAAGGACTGGGAGCTGTAAGATAGCTAAGTCTCACCATGCATAAAACTGCACCCTTTGTCTTTCTCTTGGCATATCGCCCGCTCATTAAATCAGCTTTCCTCGGTGAAGGCCCTAATCGGCCACTGACGGTCCCACAAGAAGGAAAAGCGACTCACCTTCTCTGCAAGGACGTTTTCCCAGTACTTTTGCAGCTTGCTCACTGTGCTCTCGTATTTCACCAGCTTCTCTCCGGTCTCCAGGAGCTCTTTTTCCAAGCGACTGTTTTCCTAAAACGAAGCCGGCGAGTCTCAAACATCAAAGCCCCCTCTCAAAAAGCAAATACGCCCAGTACACCCAGGGTGGGAAGGAAATGTGAGAACTCAAGAGGAGCGGGATAGAAGTGGGGAAGCAAGAAGGGTGAACTGGAGCGGCCATGAGAACTGGGGTGCAAAAGGTGCGGAATTTGGGGTGGGGGGTCGCAGAAGCATCATGCCAGACCAGTCCAGCACTCACTGGTACACGGTGGCCAAAATGGAGCCGTTCCTTACGTTTGTTTATTTATTTATTTAAAACATTTTTATGCCGCCCCCATCGCAACAAAGCCTCGGGGCGGCTCACAACAAGAACAAAATATACAAATATAAATTATACAATAAAAATATTACACCTTGCCAGTGTAAGCGACGGCTCCAGGCTTTGTGGCCCATTTTGAAGAATAAATTCCCGCTTGAGTATTTTTCCTTTGAAAACCCTATTCAATGTCTCAGACTTAACTGAAATGTGAAGATGGGCAGGGAAGGTCTACAGACGAGCGCAGAGGCAGGGCAGAAACAGTGTGGCACAGTGGTTAGAGTGTGAGCCGGACACGGGGAATGAAGATGAAGTCCCCACTCAGCTGTGATGCTCAGGGGCTGGCCTGAGGCCGAATTTATTTATTTATTTATTTGAAGTTTTTATATGCCGTCCCCTTGCTACATAGCCTCGGGACAGCTCACAGGAATAAATGAATAAAACAATTACAATTAAAACTTGGAAGCAACTGGCTCAGTCTCAGCCTAGCCCACCTCACAGGGTCCTTGGGAGGACCAGGTGGAAAGGAGGGAGTTAAGATAAGCCATCTTGGACTCCCTGTTGGAAAACAGCTGCTGTATGAAGATGATATATCTTTTTAGGATTTTTTTAACATTTAGCCTGCATGCTGTGGCCCTTTTTAACTGCTTTTATAGATGTTTAATTTGTTATGTTTTAATTGGGTTTAATGTGTTTTACTCTGTTAATATGTTTTATGTACTGTAAGCCACCCAGGAAGGCCTCGACAATTATAGGCAGCCTATAAATACATGTAAATAAAGAAATATTTAGCCAAAGGAGAGAAAGCAGCATGTAGACACGAAGCTCACATTCATGCTTCTTTTATATTGTTATTTATTTTATATTGTTATTTTTATATTGTTACTATTGTATTTTTCTTCATGTTGTGAGCCGCCCCGAGGCTTCGGCGATTGGGGCGGCATATAAATGCTTAAATAAATAAATAAATGAATGAATGCTACCTTGAAGCTGGGGTGCCCAAATTTTTTTCACTCTCAGGGCTGGATCAGGGAGCTGCACATCTGCACACTTCCACGCACGCACGCACGCACGCACGCACGCGCACACACAAACAGGATCCCCTTGCTAAAACTAACAGGGAAAAGTCAAGCGATGCCATCCGGACAGGGAGGGCCGGCCGGCCGCGGAAATGGCTGGGCAAGGCGTCCATGGCCGGCAATCCGCCCGCGTGGCTCCTGCCGTTACCTTCAGGGTCAGGGCCAAGCGGTCACGGAGGTAGTTCTCTTCCGTTCGCAGCTTCTCCATCTCCTGCTCCAGCTCGGCCCGCTGCTTGCCGGCCTGCAGCTGGAGTTGCTCGCGGTCTTTTCGGAGCTCATTTCTGAGAGCCGCAACCCGCTCCTTGTAGTCCTCATCCAGCTTGCTGTGGGCAGAGAGGAAGGGGAAACCGTTTCGGTTCCTCTGGGAATCCATAGCCAAAAGGTTCCTGGCCGCACTGACATCTCAGTGGCTGAATGGCTCAATAAAATGACAATTCCTTTTCTGCTCCAGGACCCAAGCAATGCAATCTCTCAGATGCAATGAATGTGATGTGGAAAGAAGGGAGGGAAGCCACCATGTTTGAACCAGCAGCTCTCATAGGCAATTTACAGACTTCTGTAACACGCTCTACGTGAGGCTGCCCTTGAAGACGGTCCGGATACTTCAACTGGTCCAGAATAGAGCTGCCAGGTTGTTAATGGGGACCAGCAGGTATGAACACATAGCCGGTCCTTTTCCACCTTCACTGGCCACCAGTTGAAGCCCAGACCCAATTTAAGGTGCTGGTGAAGACCTATAAAGCCCTGAACGGCTTAGGGCCTGGTTACCTGAAGGAGCGTCTCCTTCCGTGCGTCCCAGCCTGCCCCTTAAGATCTGGGGCAGAGGCCCTTCTCCAGGTGCCCTCCCTGAAGGGGATTAGGAGGGTGACTACCCGGAGAAGGGCCTTCTCTGCGGTGGCACCCCAATTGTGGAATTCACTCCCCAGAGAGGTTCACCTGGCACCATCACTTTATTCTTTTTATTTTCCCCATGTTTTAAGATCTGATTGCTTTAATTGGGGTTTTATTGTCAGTTAGAATTTTTAGGATGCTGTGTTTTATTTCAGATTATTGTATTGTTAAACCGTCCCGAGATTTCGGAAAATGACAGTCTTGAAAAGTCTTAAGCTAACTAACTAACTAACTTGGCTGTTTCAGACTCCAACTCCCATCCTCTTCAGCCAGCATGGCCAAAGGCAAGGGACGATGGGAACTGCATTGCAAAATATTTTGAGGACACCAAGAAGCTGACTGCTGGTCCAACCTTGGTAACCTCCAGGCGTGCTGGACCACAGCCCCGTGTTGGTCCAGGAGAGAGGAGGTCAGTTCTAAAGATGCAGTGGGGTGGCGAAGCCGGGCACCTCCAGGGGTTGTCTTCCCACGAATCTGTGCGATCACCCATGCATCTGGCCACGGAAGTCTTAAAATCAACGTCCCATGACTTTCTGCCACGTTGGAAAATGGCAAAAGCGGAATTTCCGAATGTGCGAAAACAAGGACGCCGTTGAAGACAGCCTCTCCCAAGTGGGGTGCCCTCCAGATTCAGTGTGCTGCGGTGCAGCATCAGAGCAGGCTGGGGATGCTGGGAGTTGTAGTTGCGGGGCACAAGGCAGGCTGATTTAACTGAACTGATTTAACTGAACTTAACATGAACTGGGCTCATGCAGAAACTGCAGCACAGATGAAGAAAGCCCGAAGAAGCTGGAATTTGGCAAAGGTGTGCGGAATGCCATGCTGGTTCTCCCCTGCCCCCCCGACATTTGGCAGGCCACACGTAGGTGATGCGGCAGGGCCACCAGTGTGGTTGCTGCAAGAGCCCCACCCCGCCTTAGGACCCCTCCCCACTAATAGGGAGAAAAGGAGGGCTGGATTGCCCCCGACACCCACAGTCCTCTGGGGCATATGCCCAACCTTGCCACTTCTGGTCTCCAACACGCCCTGCTAGTCGCTTTGCTCCCTTGACGGACTGCAATGCTACGAATGGAGAAGCCTAAGCCAGGTGCAGTCTACCTGAGGTTGTACTCATTCTGGCGTTCGATGGCAGCATGGTGGTCATCCACTTCGGAGGCCATGCGCGACGTCAGCTTCTCTGCCTTCTCCAGGTCCAAGCGCAACTTCTCCTTTTCCCTGACAACCTGGTCGACTCGTTCCCTGAATGAAAGGAAACAGATCTCGGGCACCGGACAGACACGCTGGGCTTCCCGGCACTGACGGGAGGCAGCCGCTGGCCTGGATCCCTCCAGCCAGGCCTGTGCGCAGACGCCGGTGCATTTTAGCCCATCTTGCATCCAAGAAGACTTCGACTGCTCCGCAAGGGGCGGCATAGAAATGTTCTAATAATAATAACAACAATAACAATAATAATAATAATAATAATAATAATAATAATAATTATTATTATTCCTGGATGCTTTAATCACTGTGATCCGATTTTACCAATCATTGCGGCCATTACACCACAATGCCCCTGTGTGTGTCTTCTCCGGGACTGGTTTAGATGCTGCGGCCCATTCAGAGAGCTCAGGCACATGGGGGCGGAGTGGGCTGCCATGTAAAGACACCGCCAGCTCAGCAGCTGATGATGCCAGATAATCGGGGCATATTTAAAAAACCGAAACACGCTTACATCAAGTGGCGGATCTCTGCTTTGAAGCTGGCCAGCGCTGCCTGATATATTCTGTTCTTTGCCACGAGCAGCTCATTCTCCAGAGCAAGGGTGAGGTCTGCTAGGTTGATTTTCCCATCCAGGCTGAAGTCTAAGTCCTGCCAGAGAACAAGTGGCAGAAATTGTCAGTCTGTTAGAAGCCGGGTTTTCTGACCAATTTCTGGACTTTCAGGACATGATAATCAACACTGAATGTTAAGAAAATAGTAATAAAAAAGGAAAAATAATCAAAATAGAATGTTGTATTGTTCCAGTCCAACTGGAGGGATGAAAGCAGCACAGGGCATTATGGTCTTGAAACTAACCATCTTGGGGAACCACCTAAGATGCACTCCACAAATCAAAAGCCGTACTTGGAAACCAAGTACCACCTGGACCTTCTGAAGCAAGCTAGAATTGAGGAGCTGGTGCCCACGCTCAGCCCATCTCCAGAAAAGGACTGGAGGATGAGAACCCTCTTCCAAATGGATCCCCAAAACGTGGAAGCGCTGCCCCCTCACCCAGCCCCTCCCACCCATACTGTCCTCCTGAGTCGCTCAAGGCTTTGTTCCCACCTGTTCCCGCCTCCCCCACCAAGGGCAAAGTCGGCACGACAGCAGATCAGAAGCAGCTGCTGCTCCCGGCAGACCTAAGACTGCCAGGCTTGGATGCACGTAAGGCCGCGACAACAGCCCTGCTGGATCCGATGCCGGGTCCGGCTAGTCCAGCACACGGGGGCCAGCCAGCTGCCACGGGATCCCTCCAGCAGGATGGGCACGGGCCCTCTGCCTGCCCAGCGCCTCAGCAGCGGGGGTTGCAGGCAGGCCGCCTCTGGGGAAGGAGGGAGCCCCTGGCCAGCAAGGCCAGCAGCCACAGAGAGCCAGGAACCTTTTAATCCTCCCGTTATTTGAATGCTTAATTGGTTTTAATGCGCGATATACTGCATGCAGTGCTATTTTAATTTCCATTTTACTTCTTGTTTGTTGCAAACCGTCCTGAGATGCTCGTACAGGGATGGCTCATAAAAGCTACACATAAATAAATAAAAAGTTGTGAGTGCCATCACACAGTGTGGCTCCCGGGCGGTGTCGGTCCGGTCCGCTGTTCCACTGATGTACGGCAGCGATCCCTACAGAGTTCCGCTCTGTACTGGGGCAGACCACTGTTGAGCATGTGGCTGGATTGGCAGGAGGACGCACGATGGGTGCCATAGTTTCTACAGGTCAGATTCTAGCCCCCCCCCACACTCCCACAGGTGATTAAAGGTGACCTGCTGCCCATCGCTGGCCTCGCTGGCCTCCGCATCGCCTTTCCGTGCCCGACGGGTGGTCCTGCAGACACTGCCAGCTAGAAGAGGCCAAAGCCCGGGCTAGAGGGGGCCACCCCTCACAAGGACATGCCAACTGTATGTTTTAACTGTGCCAGTATCTCCACTAACAAACGCTGAAGACAGTCGTTCCGGGAGAAGATGGAAGTTCTAGTGGAGAGTTCTTGCACCCGCAGGTCCGGCTGGTGCCAAATCGCTCATCTTTTTAGTGCCAAGACAAGACGGTCCTTTATGCTGAAGGTTTTAAAGATGCCTTCAGCCCAGGCGGCTACCCTGCCCTGGTGATTTGATTTTTCCTCTCCCAGGTCAGTTTTACTGCATATTTCTCTATTTAGATATTCATTAATTGTCCTAATTTTATTAGTACTGTATTTTTCTTATTTTTAACTAATTGCAATTTTGTGTTTTATTTATTGGCTGGTCAATGACCGAATAAAGAACTGATTGATTGAGCTATTTAAAATGTATTCCAATGCTTTGCTTTTGCGATAATTGTACTTTATGGCATTGCTGTGCACCTTCCAGAGAGCTCTGGATAGTGGGAGGTATGGAAATGGAATAAGGGAAGAGAAATTCCCCCCAGAGATCAAGGCGGGCAAGCCAAAAGGGGCCGATTCCATACAGCACCTGTCGATCTGCCCTGGAATCACACGCCAGTGGGTGGCGAGAGAACCGATTACCTTCAGGATCTCATGGCTGTTTTCTATGCCTTCTTCGTGCCAGGCATCGAGGATCTGTTCCACCTCAGCATAACCCAACCCATCATCCAGGCTGGAGAACACCCGGAAGCCAATGGTGCTGGTCATTGCGGATGGTGTTGTGGTACGCCTCCCACTTTCATCAAAGGCCTGGAAGAGCATGGGGGGGGGGGACAGAGGGGGGGCTGAGTCATTAACCAGCCTCCAAACTCCACGCAGGATGAAGGTCAGATCTGGGCTCCTTCCCCTGAACTGCTGGATTTCTAAATGGAAGGAACTGCTTGGAACGGCTGAGCCCCATTTTGAAGTTGTTCAGCATTAGGTTTCCATCTCAGTGAGAACGAGGTGATATAATATAAAAGAACCCATGATCAAATCCAGGGAAAATGTTTGATAAGTTTTAAAACCAACAGCAATGATATAAAGAGAGCCTTTTTGGCTAATGGAGTGGGATATAAATCCAGTGGAGAAAGACCATTTTAAAACGTAGCATTACAACCTATTATTAATCGTAAAACAAGCAGCTATTTCAAATTCTTTCAAAGATCTTTTAAAATTTCAGCTCTATCACAGAAGCTCTTCTCAGAGCGCATACTGCATCGGGGAAGAATCTGGCCCAGAGCTGATCTGATGGCGCCTTTTAGGGCCCGGTCTAGGCAAGCATAGCAGAAAGGGATTCCAAGTCCCAGCATTCTGTTGCTGGGCTTCTGTCCACCTAAGCGAGATCGGGCCAGGCCCTTAGTTAGCCACGTGGGGGAAGTGGTCCCCGGGCGCCCACCTGCATGGAGAGGTGCCGCTTGAGTTGTCTGTACGGCGTGGAGGCGGACGGCGGGAGAGGCTTCCCGATTTTGAACAAGCCATAGAAAAAGTCTTCGATGCTCATTGTGCTGTTGCTGGGCTCGAGGTTCTGGAAGATGTCCTCCAGCACCTGAGGAAGAGAAAAGCGCGGTCCCTGGAGAGGGGCAAAGGCACGGAACAAAAGCCGGGCTCCTTGTGCGTCGTGGGGAACAAAGAATGCACGTTCTGCACTGAGGGGAACCAGCCTCCGGCCCCGATTCACCGTTCCTTCTCTGACCCTCCTGACCCTAAGAGCTGGGAAGGGGAATGACCTGGACCAGACAGCAGAACAGCCCACATGCGATAGACGGCAAAAGGAGGGGGGGCGGCAGCGGATGAGGGGGCTGGGTGGGGTCACTGGGGCGGTGGAGGTGGGCTTGGGGGGACTCGGGGAACGGTGGGGGAAAGGAAGGCCTGGAGGAGTGTTGTCCACGGGGCCGCGATGGGCCGGACGCGACTTCGTGACTGACAACCACCACCACCACAACAGAGCTTGAGTGTGGATCATGGCTAAACTGTGTGCAATGAGTCACCTCATCCGAATTATGCAGCAGGGCGTGGCTTGCTCCCCATGGACACCCCAGGAAAAGAACCCCTGGATGGTGGAGTCACAAGCTTTACTGAAGGGGGGGGGGCAGGGAGGAGCTTCCAGGTCGGAGCCAACTCTTTACATGGGCAGAGGCTTCTTCCTTGACTTTGGGAGAAGGCTAGGGAGTGTTAACTGCACTTCCAATGGTTGTCTGAGTTGGATAAGGGAAAGCAGGAAGGTCTTTGTAGCTGCAGCATGTGCTGAATCGCACCTGTCGGTCTCCTCCCACCTTTCGCCCAACTTAGCAGGAAGATGCTCTTATCTGGGACCTGCCTTTGGCTGGAGATGCCTAAGTCTTCCCAGCTGGGGAGGGGGCAGCGTCCGGCTAGGAAGCTGCAGGGCAGTACAGAAGACGCACTTTGGTGGGATTTGGGCAAAGGGCTGTGCAGTGAGTCGGTCCTCCCACTTGCTCACGCGTAGGAAAAGCCACGGCCCCCATTAGTGGTGGGGGGTCTGCACAGGAAGGCCCCCTGGCTATTCACAGCATGTGGCCCGCGTGACACGGCCACTGCCGGGGGACATGCATGGCCCATAGGAAATTCCACACATGCCACCTGACCAGAGTGCGGTCTGAAGGTGCATAAGGCATCCCCACTTTGAAGCTAAGCAGGTCTGAGGCTGGCCTGGGCTTGGAGGGGAGACCACCTGGGAACTGCTTGGAGCCACCCTGAGTTCCACAAGGGGAGAAAGGTGGCATACAAATATAATGAAGAAATGACCTTCCAGGTCCCACCTGACTCTATTCCTGGATTTTTGGGGCATGCAAATGGTAGGCCTTGTGATGCTGCCCGTGGGGTTTTCCCAGCCGCAATGTATGGCTGTGAGAGTTGGACCATGAGGAAGGCTGAGCGCCAAAGGGTTGAGGCCTTCAATTGTGGTGCTGGAGGAGACTCCTGCGAGTCCCTTGGACCCCAAGGCGATCAAACCGGTCAGTCCTAGAGGAGCTCAACCCTGACTGCTCTTTAGAAGGCCAGATGCTGAAGGTGAAACTCAAATACTTTGGCCACCTGATGAGAAGGAAGGACTCCCTGGAGAAAAGCCTGATGCTGGGAAGAACCGAAGGCAAAAGAAGGAGGGGAGGGCAGAGGATGAGGAAGCTGGATGGGGTCACTGGGGCAGTTGGTATGAGCCTGGGTGGACTCTGGGGGAAGGTGGAGGACAGGAAGGCCTGGAGGAGTGTTGTCCATGGGATTGCGATGGGTCAGACACGACTTCGTAACTAACAACAACAACAACTTATACCAAGCATTTCTATCCCAAGTCTTCCGCCAAGGAAGTTCTTGGTTTCTTAGTAGCCTCCACTGAGTTTGTGGCACTTACATCTGAGTTTGGCATGGGATTGGCCTGCACTGATATTGAAGATGAAGCTCAAATACTCTGGCCACCTAATGAGAAGGAAGGACTCCCTGGAGAAGAGCCTGGTGCTGGGAACAATAGATGGCAAAAGAAGGAGGGGGCGGCAGAGGATGGGGGGGCTGGATGGGGTCACTAGAGAGGTGGATGTGGGTTTGGGTGGCGTCCAAGGGATGGTGGAGGACAGGAGAGCCTAGAGGAATGTTGTCCATGGGGTTGTGATGGGTCGGGCACGACTGCGACTAAACAACATCATAGGCATGTCATGAGTTGAGCTGGCTGGAGCTGGGGGTCAGACTAGATGGCCTGAGAGACCCTTTCTGACTCACTCTGTTTCTCTGGTTCTATGTTCTATGTTTCCACTTGTAGCCCGGGTGCCCCCTGCGTCCTCACCCATTCCTGTTTGGAAAAGTCGGCACCATATTTCTGTTGAAATACTGATTTCTAACATGCATCCAAGCCTATAAATCAGTGCACTAGTGCAGCCTCGTCCTCCTTTCGCAGGGGGTTGGGTACCTGGGTGTTGATATTCCGCAGCCCATACTGCTCGCAAACGGAGACCAGCTTCTTCCTGCTCAGGTGGCCGTCCCGGGAGATGCCGAGGCTCTCGCACACCTCGCGCAGCTTCCCCTCTATCCAGTCCCGCGTCGGGGAGTTGGCCTGGGCTGCGTTCAAGTCATCGGGGTTCCAGAACCTCAGCTGGCCTGGGGAAAGCAGTGAGCTCAGCATGACAAAACCAGGGCATCCTGCCTACAACGGCTGCCGCTGCCCCACAGACACCCCCCACCCTGACCGTCGGCTTCTACCAATTCTGCGCCCTCTTGCCTGAGCTGAGACCAATCGGGCAGGAATCATAGTTCTGCGCCTGGAATCCTGATCCATCTCTAGACCGGGTGAGATGGCTGGTGCTCCTGTTGAAGCCCACCTCACCTCACAGAATTCGGGGGCAGCCCGGGAATGGACACGATTGCACCGAAGCCCTTCCCCATGGGTAGAGCCCACCTGGCATATGATCCACAGTGGAATTGTGGGCAAGGAGCAACTGGGAAGATGGTTGGAGCACTGGTGGAGTAAAGCCGGGCTGCAGCTGACCGAACATGGGCAGGAGTTCACTGGAGGACGACTGCCTGGCGACAGTGACGCGTGCATTGGTGACTTCCCGGTTGGACTACTGTAATGAGCTCTACGTGGGGCTGCCCTTGAAGACGGTCCAGATACTTCAGATGGTGCAAAACAGAGCTGCCAGGTTGCTGATGGGGACTGGGCGTTACTCTCACATAACCCCAGTCCTCTACCAGCTCCACTGGCTCCCCATCGAAGTCAGGGCTCAATTCAAGGTGCTGGTTATCACCTATAAATCCCTTAACGACTTGGGACCTGGATACCTAAAGGAACGCCTACTTCCATATTTGCCCTCCCGCCCCTTGAGATCGGCAGCAGAGGCCCTCCTCCAGGAGAGACATCAGGAGGCAAAGTACCCGGAGGAGGGCCTTCTCTGTGGTGGCGCCCCACCTATGGAATGAGCTCCCCAGAGAGGTCTGCCTGGCGCCGTCGTTATTTATTTTTCGGCGCCAGGCTAAGACCTTTTTATTTAAAAAAATATTTTAATATCTATAGGTTTTAATTGTGCAGCCAGGGTGTTTCTGGATTTTAATTGTATTTTGTGTCATTTTTATTTATTTATGTGAGCCGTCCTGAGGCTATAAGCGATGGGACGGCATACAAAAACTCTAAATAAATAAATAAATAATATTGCGCCCGCTCCGTGGCAGTGAGGGTCGGGAAGAGAACCTTCTCCTCCGCTAGCGTCACATCTTCTGTGCTGCCCAGGGAAGCTGCTCCAAGCGCCCCGCGGCCTTTTATGCATTGGCCCCAAAGAAGCCCAAAGAAGACCACTGTGACAAATTAGCACAGCGCTTTGCGGGTGAAGTCGCTCAGATTGAGCACAGATTGGACCCTACAGTTCCTATAACGGAGTTGTCCAGGGCCCGGCCTGGTCCTATTTTACTGGATAAGCTGCATGAACTTTCCACGTGTTTTTCCAGGTTCTTCCCAAAGCTGGACCTGAGGATGCTTTTCTCCCTGTTTGTGCGAAAAGAACTCTCCCGGCTGCTGTTCCACACCTTTTAAAAAGAACCAGAGAGTCCCCTCCCTTCTTACCTTCGGCTTCGTATTCCTCACTGTCCTGGGATCTCCAGTGCTAAAAGAGAGAAAAAAAAGGGAGAGAGAAAGAACTGAAATACTGGGGTGTGGACAGATGTGCTCACCTGTTTCCCCCTCTTTTTTTCCTTTTTTTTATCCCCTTATTTTGACAGAAAAAAAAACATAAATACAATTACAACAATAATAATATAACACAACAAGAACACAATAATTAAAAAAAGAATAAATGAAGGAGTGCCCCCACCACCCCAGAAACCAAAACCACCATCGTATACATATAATATATAATATACTTCAATTATACCCATATCCCCTCCAGAAAGTTATATAATCTTGATTGGGTTTACAACTGTTGCCTTCTAGCAATACTGCTTTTACAAAATCTTCACAAATTTCATTATATTGCTTTCATTAACCCTTTTTAAAGTTTTATTTCTGTCATCAGTTTGTCATTAATTACCATATTCCATATTTCATTATACCATTCATGCCTTTGCAAAACCCAATTCTGTTTCCAGATGTGCTCACCTGTTATAGCAAAGCTGACACACAATCAGTTGTCACCTTGAGGACTAGGGAGTTATTGTGGCAGAGGCACTGCCCAAACTGAACGGCATTTTTAACTTTCCTCCTCCTCCTCCTCCATATGTACATACGGTTTGTGCCTCAGTGAACTGCTTCCAGGAATTTAATGAGTGGTACACGCCGTTCCACGAAAGCGTTTGCCACCAGAATTAAATGGTCTTTAAAGCACTGCAACAATCTGTTATATGCTTAAATCAGCCTTTTCCAGACAAGTTGGACTACAGTTCCCATCACTGCAGCCAGCTGGTGGCTGTGTTGCCTAGAGATGAGGGGTGCTGTTATACATCACATCAGAAGGGGAAAAACTGAGCAATGAACTCCAGGTTCTAGGAATTTCTGGATGTCCTCCAGCTTCTCGTCTCTGCCATTTCTTGGAGCCAAGACTGCCCCCCATGATAAATATGCCCATTTCGAGATAATTTCCACCACTAACTTTCAAAACATGTGACTTCCTTCTCTCATGGATACACCAGGTAGAACCTAGAAAGTCGGGCATCACTCCCATTTTACAGATGGGAAAACTAAGCCACACACAAGAAGCAGTGCCCCTAGGCTCCCAAGCAGGATGGCACTGTGCTCCACTGAAAGCAGATGCCACAGGGAGATGCCAGTCCTGTCTCCACAGCCCCTCTGCCCTCCTGCCCCCCAAGACCCATGCAGCATAGCCAGCGGAGCCGAATCAGGGCCCAAACGGGGTGCAACATCAGAGAGTCTTTGGTGAACTGCAGGAGGCGGCAGCAGCTGCCCCGGAGCACCGGGGTTTCGATGCTCCCGTCCCGCACAGGGAGGGCCCTACTGCCTCCCAGCTTCCGGGCCAGCACAGGAAACAAAGGTTTGGCTCAAACGACAATCCTCCTCAAACCAAGCTCAACTTGTTTGGATGCACGCTACGGTTTGCTAAGAAAGCGGAAGCCAGTTAGGGGATTATGGGTGGGAAGAGTAGGGACAGCCTTTGGGGACAACGCTCCCTGAATTTTTCATGCGGCTTCTCCCGGCTGTCCAGGGACACTTGCTGCAAGGACTGGGGTCCTGCGGATCCCCCCCCCCCCCCCGAGATAGCTCGGTTTTGGTCTGCAGGAGCTTCACCTCCTGCTGCCCCAAAGTCTTTTCCCTGATGCTTTTTCCCCTGAAATCACATGCCCTCTTCCCCCGCCCATACATCCATTTTTTCAATGGGGTGCCTTTTAAGGACACACACAGGATTAAGAGCATAAATGGATTAGCCTCTATACAGTTGCGATTCTCTTTTTCTCTTCTATAGGCCTGAGCCCTGCCTCTCTCTGGCACCAGCCCAAGCAGCAACCTGTGTTTTGTCCACACAGATGAATGCAACCTTGCAGTGCGTGATGCTGTCTTTTGCCATCGTTGCAGCGAAGATAAAGTCCACTCTGCTCCTGCGGACACCTATTTTCCAAAGCAACCCCCCTGCACACACAACTCAAGGCTCTTCTGCGAGGGAAAAGCAAGCAGCAATCCCTTGTGCAGCTTTCCCCTTAGTCCTCCCGTCTGAAAAATGGGTCTAACGATACTACTTACGGGGCAGTTGAACACACCGCTGAAAACATTTGCTGTGCAGTGTTCTATTTTTCAAAGATAAGCTGGACATGCACGTGGTGGGCATGTCGTGAGCAGAGCTGGCTGGAGCCGGGGGTCAGACTAGATGGCCCGGGAGACCCCTTCTGACTCGCGCTGTTTCTGTGTTTCTTGAGCTGCAGGGCTTCCTCTGTTCTGGGCATGAAGGAGGCAGACGTGTCCTTCAAGACTGACCCTGAGCAGCTGTGCGTTTACACGTGAGCGAGCAGGGACGGGGCTGTGCATGGAGGGACGGGGAAGGAGGACACCCTAATCAATCTTGAGGAAACGAGAACGAGCGAGAGTCCAAGGGCGAGGCGGCCGCATCTCTCCTCTGGCAAAAGATCTGTCTTTCTGCACAGAAGGGGGATTTTTCTTCAGTTCTCTACTGATCAGGCAGAAGAGAGGCCGGGCGTGTGATGACAATGGACTGTTTATTTTTGAAATGGGCAGCGCTGGCACCGGGCCAAAATGAGGCAGCGTCCGTGCCCCTTCGGCGATCCTGCTCCTTAGCTGTTCCCGGAACAATCCCTTCCTTATTTATGCATACGCGGCGGCCGGAAAAGGAGAGGGAGAAAGCTCCCGCAGTTCCAAGCGGACGGACTGAGGGTCAATGCCCCACGGTTTAAGAAAAACAAAGAAATAAGAAACAAAATACAGTCCTGTCCCAAATATCAGATTTTCTATGTTCTGGCTTTTACTTTTGTTTAATTGTTTGCATTGCTCTGCTTATTGTTTTATTGTTGGTAGTTTGTGTTTTTATTGTAAGCCACCCAGAGAGCCCTTTGTGCTATAGGGTGCCATATTAATGTAATGTAATATAATATAATATAAGCGACAATGCATTACTATTCATACAATGGTTGGATTTCAGAGCAGGGCCGCTGGGTGCCTGGGAAAGACGCCACTGTCCAAATACAAAAGTTTAATAGCAGTCATTCCGATTACAGCTAAAACATCATTAATCTACAGGGTAGCCATGGAAACGGGATTAGGTCACTCTGCTTTTAAAACGGCTGCTCTGTTCCATCATGCGGGAGGCGGGGAGTCCACATGGCGGTCTGACAGCATCTCTCCTGGCTACAGGTGAGAACCGTCCGCACGATGCGTCCGCACGGTCGCCCAGCAGCTGCCAAGAGGGACCACGGAACCAGTTCGCCCTAAAACTAGGCATGACGCGTCTCTGTCCAGCTGCCTCTTTCCGGTCAGAGGCAGCAGCTCTAGCCCACTTCTGCCTCAGGCCGGGATTTTGTTTTCAGAAATTGCACAAAAACCCGCACGTTTTGCATGTCTGCCATCCTAAAATACCATGCAGTTTCAACTTAAAAAACAAAAAAAACAAAAACCAACTTTACCACATCATTCAGAGAAATGCAAAAGCTGCATTCTGGGCCATGTATTAGTCCTGCAAACATGTCAGTTTGTTTAACAGTCCAAATGGAACAAAACAGCTGAGCGCCTCTGCCGAAAGGTGTGTCAGTCAGGCCCTATGAGGAGAGGTGGAAAGCGCTGGATATGTTTGGCCTTGGGAAGGCCGAGGGGAGATAGTGCTCTGCAGATCCTGGAAGGCTGTCGCAACGGCGAAGGCCAAGAGCTCTTCTCCATCATCCCAAAGTGCGGGAGCGGAATAACGGGCTCAAGTTCCAGGAGGCCAGATTCTGGCTAGGGATCAGGAAGAATCTCCTGACTGCTAGAGCAGTATAACAACGGGACCCATGGCCATGGGAAGTGGTGGGCTCTCCCATCCCGGAGGCATTCAAGACGCACCTGGACAGCCCTCGGAGAGGGATTCTGAAAGGTCCACCGAGTCCTGCATTGAGCAGGGGTTGGGCTTGATGGTCTTCCTGGCCCCTTCCGACTCTACTATTCCGGGATTAAATAGCCCCAGCTGGACGGAAGCCGCATTTCCTGCGACCGGACATTGTACAGCTGGAAGCAATGCAAAAAGGAGATTGGGGAGCGGAGGAGCTGGAGGGACAGTCTGACGCCCCAGTCGCAGGGTCCTGCTTCCCCTGGAACCTACCTCACAGGGTTGTTGTTCTGAGGATGGAATAGGAGACGGGGGTGATGTAAGAAGGCAGGCGGGGCATCAACGCGCAATCGTTAAACGGATAAGCTACAGTGCCGGCCCTGCTCTGGTACTACGCAGAACATCGCAGAGGAGCTGGCTGAGCCCCTGCAGCCGCCCAGCGGATGCTCGGGGGCCGGCTCGCCCAAGCGCGCCTGCAGCGACGCAAAGCACGGTGCATTCGGCCTGATTTGCTTCAGCAGCAGTATTAAGGAATTAGGGAGAAGTGATGCCCAGTTCCCCTCGGGTGACCCACAAGGTGAGGGGAAGGAGGCGGCAGGCCACGCTCCACGGCCGTGGAGAAGAGGCAGGGAACGGGTTCTCCTCCCGCGCACACCGAACCCCCATCAGCAAAATGAACAAGTCCTTGCACGCTGGCCCAGCCCCACAGACCACGGGGGGTTCATTTTTAAAGAGTCACTTTAAAATATACATTTATCAGCCACTCCGATCATGGAACATTAATCTGATTTAGATTCCTGAAAAGGGTTTGTTTCCAGCTTCTGTCATCTCCCTGCGTGTTTTGGCAGGAAGCGGAAAGGCAGCCCTGCTGGGTCCTCTCCGCTTGGGGGGGGAGAACAAAAAGACCACCAGTGGCCTTTGGCTATTCCGGGAAAGGGCCCAGAGCCCGTAGCCACTGGCCACTTTATCCCGAAAATGGCTCCTGGTACTAGGCCAGGGTTCGTGTGCAGGTAGAATTCAGCCATCTTTGGTGGCATGGACCTGCTAGGGTGGCCACGTGTCCTTTTCTACTAGAGGACTGTGCTCTGTTTTGAAGGTGTCCTGCTCTCCCAAGCCTGTAATAAAGACAA